TCCCATTTCCCAAGAAATAACTGATACTATTTTTATGCATAAGTGGGACTGAAAAACTATTGAATTGACTGAAACTATTTTTATGCATACCTAAGTGGGATGCTTGCTGCTTGCTAATAACCGCGGTCCAAGTATCTACAGGAAAGCTCCAACAAAGCTATCATGCATCTCGTGTGATGTAGCTGTTGTTGCGAGGTATACAGCGGCACTGGCTAGTCGTGGTCCTCATCTCCACTATTTCTCCCTTCCCCTCCACTCCACTCTCCTCCCATCCTCTCCCATCTTCCGGCCCCTCCAGGGAAGATTCACCGTCGCTCCTCACAATTCACATTCCTTCCATTCCCCGACAACCGTTTGGAAAGCGACTTGCCACTCCTAAGGTCTGATGGAAAGAATCACGAACAACAGAAACTGACCGGGCCACGTCACGGCCTTCCTCCAGAAAGCCAATGCTAAATCGCTCTAACACCGAATAACATACATCTCGTGCGCATGTAGCATTGAACTTAAATACTTCTTTGATCTAAGGGCAAACAACTATTGTTTGCCTCAAATCTTTATTCACCTGGCCAGTCTCAACACTCGATAAAGGGTAGCCGACGCAGACATTGCGATTTTCTCTCGTGTTTGGGCTCTGTTTCAAGCTCGCCGACTAACGCTAGGGGCGTCGGAACGTTGCGCCGTGAATGGCGTGTCATGCCTCTCACTAAACGCGGTCTCTCATCGCCTGCCGCCCTGCGCCGCGCCGACACAGGGGTGCGTGCCGCGACTGTCGCACGGGCGCCGCGACCGCCGCACGGGCGCCGCGATGGCCGCCGGCTCTGGACCAAGGCCGAACTCGTGGGAAGGTGGCAGCCGCTAGACACGCCATGGACCAGCGCGTAATGACCAATTACAGAATCTGCATTTGACAGATTATTAGCTGTTTGGCAGTGAATCGTTTCTGGTGCTAATGAAAGCGCCGACTTACGTCCTACAAATAAGGAGAGAAATCTCTTCCTGGACAGAACTCTGGCGATAATGATTGGTTGCCGGTATAGACCGTTAAAAGTGACCCCATCACAGTCGCAAAAAAGAACATGTGTGACAATCGGCATGTAATGCTAGCTAAACTATACGAAAAAAAACTTTTTTTTGTGTTAAGCTCAGGCTACACTATCATCGTTTTTTCGGTTTCTGCGTGATTTCGGTTTCCGCGTTTTTACGGTTTCTGCGTTTTTTCGTTCCGGGCGGCCGCCGCGTGGACGGTGTAGTTTAGGTATAGCATATAGTGATGGATAAGTGATCAAATTAATTACTTATTCATGTTAAATATTATCGTGTTGTAACAAAATAATAATGAAATAATTTTTTTTAAAGATTTTACAACTAAAAAGAATATATTTTCGATCATAATCATTTGTCAGCTTAGTTACAATTATCATATTGATGAGTGTTGAAACACATAGGAATCATTCATCACTAAAACGAAATCCTGCATGAACCGAAAAAAAAGTTCACAGCTCTGAACTTTTTTTCGGTTCCGATTCGTCGGTTTTTGCGGGTTTTCGTTCCACGGGACGCCAGACTGGCAGTGTAGCTTGCGCAATGCATTCGCTATGAGGCGAACTTGACGACGCGAACCGAAATCCCGCAGAAACCGAAAAAACGTCGGAATTCATGCTAGTGTAGCTCCTAGGCTTTAGGGACATTTGTCATGTTAGGCAAGTTATGAAAAGATCATAGCAGCCCCACGAGTCAAAGTTGATGAAACGTATTCGAACAAAATATCTATAGGCTGGCTGTCTGCCTTTGTCATTATAGCCCAACTGTTGGAGGTCACTTCTCATGACGACCATCAGAATGGGTAGATGTTATACGCGTGTAGGTATATGTTAAGTGCTATAATCTGGTGTTCTCTGTCAAATTATAAGCACCCCCAAAGAGCTGACACATGTTTTACCTACTCATGCAGCTATATCTAAGAAAATAGGTTGGTCTGTTGATGGCGCAGCGTGCTCTTTATCGGCACTCAGCAGATACCAAGCAATCGTTATCTGAGTGTATTTTCCTTTTTCAAATTCGTATTCCTATCTAACAGCTAACAATAGGTCTATGACTCAAGTGTAAATTCATGCTCTCGCTGTCCGAGACGTGAATATTCCTACCGACAGAGAACACTGTTACTTCATAACCCCATATATCCAACCATCTCCCCCCTGCATCTAATTATTAGGACGGCTCGCGGGGAGCTGTCAGAGGTCTCATCTCGCAGTGGCTGGCACACAGGACTGACGGCCCGGAGCGGTGGGTTTTCCATTTCTCAACTACCTCTCCATGCAGCTCAGCACAGAGAGGCACGGCCGCAGGGGCGGACTGAGTGTTTGTACTGCGGAACCATCCAGAGGTGGATGCATCCTGACAGACCGTCAACTGAGGGATGAGAGACGGTCGAGATTACGCACTATCAGTCAGATGGACTGGCGTCGGAACAGAGAACCGAGAGAACTAACTGCTGTCGATCGGAATGACCATTAAGGGGGAGCGCCACTGAATGTCAATGGGTTTTATACGGACGGAGTGACGCCAGGCTCGGACTGCAGGGTAATTAATTAGGGAGAGGCAAGAGAAGTTAAATAAGGAGTGTGCGGGGGAGGCACTCAATTGCAGGCAATTAATGGGAGCCCCAGCCTCAGGGTCGACTACGCTGCAAAAGGACATTTCGCCTTTCTCTTTGGACAGTGAGTGTCGAGGGATCAGTAATCTAGGACGGAACCAATTTCATGATCCCTTCGGCACACCGAATACAATGCTTGCAAGGACATGTGCGGGTGCATGAAAGATAATTCCAACAAACAATTAAACGCTGCTAGTGCTTGAAATAACATATTTGAAATGCAGGGTTTGTATTGTACAGTGCTCAAGTCGATTGAAGACTTGAAGTCGATTGGTGCATCTCATTCAAGATAAGCTCTACATACATTCGATCTTCACGTTCGTTTAATCATAAATGATGAAGTAAATGCCGAAGTAGGATGAGCATAACATTATCATTTATAGTTCTCCATATCAATGTAAGATCCTTTGTATAGGTAATGAAACATGTGAAGCATTTGATCTGCCAACATGTAAGGTGGAGGACCTTACCAAGTTAAACTATTCAAGCTTTAACAGCAAATCTGAAGAGGCATACAGATCGACTGCACCATTGAATTATTCATTTAGAACGTATTCTGAAATAGATCGGTCAAGGCTATTGTTTTTTTCCACCGTCTATCGATAGGTAGGTACGCTGTTTTCCAGGAACAAAAAAAAAAGAATATGTGTGGATATGTTCTGCACGACTCAGCTCGGCTTCAGGTGGTGAGATGGCCGAGCACCACACATGAGCTGTTGAGTGGTAAGATGCGGCGGCAACATGTGGTGTTACCTGTTGACGCGTCATCGTAGTCTCCACAATTTGGTGTTACTTATTGATGCGGCATCGCAGTTTCCAGTTTCCACGGCTTGATGGTCTGTCTGTCTAGATCTAGGTCTGTCAATGTGCTTTGGTGCTACTGGATGATGCACTATCGCAGTCTCCACGGTTTGTGCTACTGGATGATGCACCATCGAAGTCTCCGGGGGGGATGGGTTAGTGTTACTGTGTGATGTACCGTTGCAGTCTCCGCAGTTTTGTGCTACTGGATGATGCACCATCGAAGTCTCCATTGCTTGGTGTTAGTAGCTGATGCACTATCGCAGTCTCCATGGCTTGGTGTTACTGGACGATGCATGCATCATCGCAGTTTCCATGGTTTGGTGTCATGATGTGTCATCAGTCTCCATGATTTGGTGTTACCATGGATGATGCACCATCGCAGTCTCCATGGCTTGGTGTTAGATGATGCACTATCGCAGTCTCAGAGGTTTTGTGTTACTGGATGATGCACCATCGCAGCCTCCATGGTAAGGTGTTATTGGATGATGCACCATCGCAGTCTCTGTGGTCTGCTGGTCCTTGGTGATGCATCGTCGCAGTTTCGACGGTTTAGTGGTACTCCTTTTAGTGTGCTATCACAGTCTCCGGAGTCCGGGGCTTAGCGTGATGTCATCGCAGTCTCCGAAGGTTGGTGATACCCCTAAGTGTAGCATCGTAGTCTCCAGTGCTGGTGTTATCCGTCGATGTTTCGTTGCAGTCTCCGTGCGGCATACCTTCTTTTCATACGTGGAAACAGCTTCCATAACAGCCATTAAAATCTATTTTGGTCTGATAGACCCAGTTTCTGTTGCCTTCGGATGTGATTGAGGGATGTGATCAATTATCACTTGGGATGTAACTGGATGGGACCGGCTCGTCTGGAGGTGCGGCCCTTTACCGGACGGCCGTCATAAGCTCACCAAATAGCGTCGCAAGTCGCGACCATCACCTCTCCAGACACCCAGAGATGCTCTTCACTGGCTCGTGGAGAAACGATTACGAAACCCCAGTGACGCGGCAAAAACGCCCGGCGAAATATTCGCGGAATGTGTAACCGCTCGGGTATCGATCAGCATTCGGTATTCACAAAATCGTGACTGCGGTCATGACTATGCGAGCATACGTCTTTTTGTGGTTTTCAGTGGCAATCTTTAGCCCATTATCTCGTCGTTTTCGCAAGAACGTTTAGTGTCGCTATCGGCGAAGCTATTGAGATATCAGACTGCTGGCTATCGATCAGAAGTCGGTACCGTGCCTTCACATAACTCTCCAAATGAATGGTTGCCCCTCTCCCTGGGCAGATGGGGCCAGGCCATTGCTTGTCTACGCGCACGACGCCCTACTCCAAGAGGTATCGAAACGGAGATCGCTGCTAGAAATATGTACCGACACATTGGAGAGCGCTGGTGACCCTTCATAACGCCAAATGACTGCAAACGGCTCAGCTAGCGGGCGTTATATTTTTTTTTCAAGCGAGAACATACAACCCTCCCCGTCGCGACCGTCGTCCCCCCCCTCCCCCCAACCCGACCGTCGAGTCACGTCATACAGACAGCAAGAGTACGAGACACTCATAACCAGCTGTATTGGTCAAATCTGGCGTCGAGCGCCGCTGCTCGCAGTATGGCAACAGAAGTGTTTCGGTGCATCCTGTACGGACTGAAAGAGCAGCCTGCCGCCCTGTATGCGGTGTCTGAGGTATCAGTTCGAGGTCCGCCTGACAGATGGCGGCACCAGCAGCTCAGTTCGCTTGAGCTTCACTCGATAGCGCGAGAGAAAATGGTATAGACAAGTAATAATTGGTGGGTAAAGAACACATACCTGATATTTCGCTCTCACTACTCACAGCAAACGACAAAAGCGGTTGTCTATCAAAAATAATGTCACGGTAGGCAAACCTGCACACCGATTTATCCGCCCCATAGCGGTCTCCGGGGCATAACATCCAGGCTGACAAAGCGTACACACGAATCATAACGTCTCAGCTCACAACAGCCAGTGTTCCGCGCACTTCTGCACACCTGGCTGCTCACTAACGCTACAAACAATGAGGTCACAAAATAGCACCAATAACTGAGCGATACAAACGGCCACAGTGCGACGAACAATACGCGGGTCGACATTGCCAGACTACCAACAGGCTACCAGACGCATAACGCACCATACAATGCCAACAAACACAGGTACTTGTCACACACTCTCACTGAGAGGCATACGTTACATGCCAGCGCAACGCCAGTTACACAGGGGCGACGTACGCAAACACATGGGTTCCAGGATCGACAGACATACATACACAGTGCACACAGGTGCCTACAAATCCATGATACAACGGTATAATGGTGCTCAACGGAGCTCAACTACCTCTGCCCATGGCCCACTATAGATAGCTCTCACATAGTGCCACCGGGCTCTCACATAATGTCGCCTGGCTGTCACATGCCACCGGACTCTCACAGTCTTTCAATGCCCGCTGTTCCCCTCCCTCACAAACTCAGCATATTGAGTCCATCAGCATCCCTTAGTCCTCTCCTCCCACAGTTGAAAACGTAGATCTTCCAGTTCACGAGGGTCCAATCGTTCACTCCCACTGTCACCCACCCGTCTCAGTCAGGCATATCGATCACCATCACAGGCGCCAGGGGTTTCTCCTTCTTCTTCGCCGCTGCTGCCGCTGCCGTGGCGGGAGGCGGCGCCGGCTGTTGCGGAGGGGAGGAAGTCCTCCGCTCCGGCGCGTGGTACGATATGTTGCAGTACTCCCGCAGACAGGGACACGTGTCCAGCAGGAATGTGCAGAAGTCGCAGCGCATGCCGAACCACCCTGGAGAGTGGGCAGCGGAACAGTCAGAGGGGCACTGTAACCTGATGTTAGGAACGGGCCTAGCTTCATATAGCTTCTTGGCCCAATCTTATAAATGCCGTACCTACTATTCTATTCACGGCATTTTGGTAGCACTCACAATTATACCAGTGCTGACAAACGGTTATCGCAGTCAAGGAAATTATTTTTTTGGACTGTCAACATAGGATGGACTGAAGTGCGTGAAAACCATTTTGCATTTGATAGCTGTTTTCTACAGCTGAACTTCAGCCAGTGCTGCTACATCCATTCCACGGCGCTTACAAGATTGAGCCCTTGAGGAATAATGTCCATCTTTGAGCTTAGGTTGAGCTCAGATCTGCCATGATGCAGACATTTATACGTCATAGCTTACATACCTATCACAAGTTTTTAATTAAACTAAATTTCCAGATATTGATAGAAGAGCAAATCACGGTTTTTCGAGGGGAACTCACAATGGTTGTTGGGTTTGGAGCTGAAGGACATCAGCATCAGGGTGAGGAAGGTGACGAACAGCGGCGACACGGTGGCGAAGTAGCTGAGTGTGCTGAGATCGTCCAGCTTGTTGGCCAGCAGCACCTGCCGAGCGAGACGGGAGAGGGCAACGTTAGTGGACGGCGGGCAGATACCAAATTACAGGAGCAGTCACGACTGTGGATAACACACGCAGACGAACAGGCTGACTTCGTGAGTCGATTGAACGTCAATGGCCTATGGACACTCCGTAATTAGGCGGTGGGACGATAGAGAGTAGGGAAGGTGAACCTGGCAGGGTACATGAAATCGCCGACACCCTCTCTCACCCAGAACGCATAAGCAAAACACGGCCATCGGTGAATGTAGTGCAAACAACTTTTCAAGAGGTAAAACGCAGCAAAAATAGCAAGACAGGACTTTGCAATGATCAGCGGATTTTATCCTCTATTTTCGCGTTTTGTTTCACAGATATTTCATAAATACATCGCAAAAATGTCAGCATCCCCAAAGATTGGGCATGGGCGACACGACTCACCAGGAAGCCCAGTATGGGCAGTATGAGGAAGCTATAGCCCAGCATGTTTAAGGTGACTCACCAGGAAGCCCAGTATGGGCAGTATGAGGAAGCTGTAGCCCAGGGCCGTATGCGCCGAGGTACGGCGCTGCTCCGGGCTGGCGTTCGGCGTCCGCAGCAGGATGCCGGCGAATATAATGGCGTACAACAGTCCGACCACCGAGAGACAGAGCACGATCCAGAGAGGCACGAACACCACCTCCCACGACCAGAGCACGAAGCCGTCCAGCCGCAGCGCCAAGAAGATGAACTGCAGGATGTTGACGGCGCACACCAGCTCTAGCTGTGGAGAAGGAGAGGGGGAAGGGGTGGTAGACTGAGAGTCACGGCGCACACTAGCTCCAGCTGCGGGGGAGAGGGGTGGTAGACAGGCTGCGAATCACGGCACGGCACCTTTTAACATTAGGTACACATTGATAGCCGGTAGCTGAAACATGACACCTAAACCCTCTGAATGAACTGCAATATAGCTGCAGTTTGCACGCTGATGCAATCACACGCTGCCTGGCGTAAACGTAGTCAGCCATTCGGACCGGACACTCGTGAATTAGTCTAGATTATCGCTAGTCAATCGCTACGGCCCGGATCACGAATCGAGCATAGGTAACAAAGCAGCTGCCCACTCCCCAGTGCTATCCAACCACCACCCCAAACCACTCACCTCACAGGAGCGGTCGTGTTTTACCGCCCACACGCAGACGACGATGCTCAGGATGGATATGAAGATAAGCGGCACAAAGACGAGTATCCACATGTGCCGGCCCGACTGCAGCCGGTCGCAGACGAGCAGCTCGAACATCAGCAGCACCAGGTGCACTGCTAGGCTGATCAGCATCGCCTTGAAGTGGACGTACGCGTCGCCCTCCATCCTGCACGGCAAATAGCCGGAGGGTCAGGTCAGGAAAACGCAATTATCGAGTAGGACACAGTGATGTTATTTGTTACGCTGGTAGCGATGCTTAAGCAGACGACATAATGTACCACACTGGCACTGACCCGGAATACCACAAAAAGCAACTGAGAGCAACACAATGCCTTCAAATCCTTGATGAGCTAACAGCTGAGCCTGTGGTTGTTGCCCGTAACCACTACCACCATTGTTACTATTTCCGTTTCCGTTACCGTTCCCATTACCTGAAGTGCGGGTAGCGCAGCCAGACGCCGATGCCGACGGCGGCACCCAGTACGACCAGCGCGTTCCACAGCCAGATTGGGCTGAAGACGGCCCAGTAGTTCCACGAGAGTTGGCCATCGAGCCGCAGGGCGAGCAGCGCCGTGAACGTCAGCAGGCAGCAGTGGACGGTGAACTTACTGCGTGGGCACAAAGCACAGAGTCAAATGTTAGGTGGTGCAGTGGAGTGCTTATTGAGGGGCACTAATCCACAGTTGGAGAAACAAATACTGCAATGGATTGTGAGCTGCAGAGGCATAAACACATGCACAAATATCGATGACTGTAGTGGACTGTGTTATAAGGCTAATGAACTAGCACAGAGAGCACCAGAGCCGCAAGTTTTTAGTGAGCTGATTTGATGTTTCATCACATATTTTAGTTGCTGCTATTCTGTTAAATTTCACATGGTGGCTCTGGAGTTGACTCATAATGTCATTACTCAATATTACCTGGAGTTTAAAATTGTGTAATGTTAATGTCAAGAAAAGGCAAAACTTAATTCCTTACTGTTGGAGGGTGGTGGGGTAAAACAGACATCATCAGCATTCCCAAACTATTGGACGCCATTTTAGTTAAAGTTGTTCTGAAGGTCAGAGCGTAGAATCATAAGATAACTAACAAGATAGGTGTGCTATGTGTGGAACTTTTATTTTTATAAATTTTCCTGTCATCATACCTAAAAATAATACAAGAGGTTAGGTATCTGCTCTGTTATGTGCAAAGGTGTAATTAAAAGAATGAGTATGAAACTTGAAAAAAAAATTTATGTGATGTTTCTACAAGATACCAAGCCCAAACATGCCCATTTCATCCTATATAGAGTTACCTTAGATATACATAAATGCATGGCCATTGACCAGTATGGTCATTTACTACAGGGTGTCTCAAAAGTTCGCTTACACATTTCCCATGTCAATAAAGCATATAAGAACCGGCCAAAAATCTAAGGTTTTGGTGTCCGTGTGTACACTAGACAAATATGCATGCTTTGACAACTGATTCGGAAGGTTGGAAACCAAACCCTTTGCTGTATCTCCAAAAATATTTGCCCATACCGATTTTCGTCACTCCGTCAGCTGCCGGAGGCTGATAAAAGGTTACCAGCTTTCAAGCTCTTGTAGGGGAATCCCCTGCAGTTTCTGCGTCGGATTTAGGTTTGACGAGCTCCCCGGCAACATCCGCTTCTCCCTGAAAGCCGACAGCTTGCATCGACACCATCCGTGAGTATTTTGTAGGTCTTCTCTGGCGCTAACTCCTTCATGAATGACTGGCGCCGACTTCCCAAGCACCATTTTCCTTTTCAAAACAACCCCATTCCTGAACAAATGGGAAGTGCCAGGGGCAAATTTTTCGCAGCATATCGTAGCAGAATGTGTCGGCCATCTGTTTCTTAGACACATTTTGCAAATTTTGCGAATCCCGAACGCTCGTCATTCCCAATGCCAAGACCTTCGCTGGGTTCCGGAGTGTTTTCCTCAGGAGAGGTTCTGCTTTGTAAACGGCCAAAACCTGTCCATCGTGCGGTTTTGTCCGGATTTTGTGTGTAAAAGAAAGCTATTTGCTCAAGATCTGCCTCTTGAAACTTCGTTAGATAAAACTTTACATTAATTGACACTTTTGGAGGGTCATTTGTCCTCGGCATTGACGATTTTCGCATTATTTTCCCTCAAAATTTAGCGTTATAGATATTATAAACAATTTTAAATGATATTTTGTCTTTATTTTATGATGACCTGCAATTTTTGAAACTGGGTAACCTCTGTCTGTGAGCTTCTAGGCAGTTTTCAATAGTTAGGACTGCATTTTCAGCTGCTTTCCGGAGCACGAGTCTGCTGCGGTACAAGGGTCGTTCAAAGCGCTGTTAGTCTCGCATGGTTTTGTCCTTCAAAAATTTTAGCCACCGTTTTTATTAGATGACCATCATGTTGTACTCATCCTCGCCGACACTTTGCCATGTGTCATTTCCGACCTAACCATTCCCATTACTCGTGAAGCAGAGAGTTTCTCAGCCGACCCGAGTATGCGACCTCCATTTTCATGCCTGATCCATGGTCAGAGGTGAACCCTTTTTGTGAGCTCATGAAGGGTCGAATGTGCTTGAAAACAATGAAGCTGCTTGAGGAAGGTTGTTACCAATGCCCATGCAAAATTTCGACTGTTAATTTCTTGTCGATTCAGAATTATTGACAAAAAAGCATGGCTGGTACCTGTAAGCGAACTTTTGAGACACCCTGTATAATGGTCAATGTGTCAGGATATTGGGTACTCAAGAAGGTAATAACCATAGCAAAAGGCAATCACAAAATTGGAGGAAAAGAAATGTAATTGCATCATACTGGCAAGCTGTCTATTCATAACAGTAAAGGACATCATTTTCTCAACTCTTAGATACAACCAGATGATATCAAGGCCTTTCCCAGAACACCTTATATTTCATAAGGCCCCAAATATAAATATATCAGACACTTCAGGCAATGATTGTCAAATGCTAAGCATCATGTTTGGATATATGTCTTCAAATTTAACAAAGGTGATATTACACACAACTACAAAGAGGATGGAATAACTGCTTTAACATATAACTATATAACATAACAGTATAACATAACTGTATAACATAAATGTAAGGGAATGCTACAACTGTCTTACTAACCATGGATTAAAATCTTGAAACACCCTGTGTACATCCATATCTTGGAGTTGCTGACCTGGAAAAATATTTTCATCATCAGAGATGCAAAGCCAAAATGCACAAACCAATGCCTACATTGGTGGTATCAGCATGGCTTGTCTTGACACAAAGAAGTAGCCCATATTCTCAAAAGACAATATTAGCGATTTATTCAATTGCATCCTAATTCCTGAATGGCCTGGGATAAGGCAGGACTAAAAGATAGGTGCTTGCGGCTTTGCTAAATGCTAGCAAGAGGCTGTGGATGTTAAACAATGCAATTGAAACAAGCTGAAGAAGACCAAAATATACGTAAAACAGTTTGTTTATTAGGGCTTTGGGGCGCTTCAACTGCAGTGGTCATTTTGCACCGACACAAAAACTAAATATCAGAAAACAATTGTTCTTTTTGTCAGTAATCCCCCTCTGAATCAAGCTCCTGAGCCCGTGCCACTAGTAACAATTTATGCATAAATAAGTGACATCAATTATCAATATCGTCTATTTAATATAAATGTGCCATTTTCCCATAGAAATAGACATTTTCCTAAGATAACAAGCACTAACGTTTTCAGGTCACAGCAGCGTGGCGCCTACAGATCGGACAGCCAGGAGAGTCATAATAAATTAGAAAATGGTTCCGCCAGTTTCTATGGGATAATTATCAGCTACTCTTGCTTTGAGCATAAAAACAACAAAGAAACTTTGACAAGTACACCCAATCGTAGGTATGTATATCAAGAGGGTCTCGCATTCAACGTTGTTGTTGTGGGCAGGTTGTGGGCTACTTTGTGGTTTTGTAGACGAAATCAACGCAAAATACTACTAATGCTTTACAGAGCTTAAAAACTATATTTAAGTGACGTCACTGGTTTTGATAATAGCGCCATTTAATTGGTTGTTAAAAGGTACGAAAGAGCCGAACGAGATACAATTGGTTTTCTAACAGGATTTCCTCTTACGCAACCATACATAAAAATATTCCACTTTTCATTTTAGCCTCATCCTTAGTTTCTTTTTCATTTTCTTCGCACGACTCGGCGTGGCACGGACACACGAGGGATTCCGCCGGGTGGTATGGACTGAAAATTATTGTTTTATTATGCCGAGTGTTTAAGTGAAATTGATGTTGTTGGTCACCCGCAGTGTGCTTATTTTGTTAGATTTTTGATTTTGTGAAATAATTATTCCTCTTTGTTTTTAGAGGGTACCCAACAATACCACAATACCTATGTTACGTAAACTACATTCACGGATGAGTGGATTTTAATTAAAGTATTTCAATTTCCCAGTTTTGGAAAATCTTTTTTGTGCTTAGGTGACTTCTTTCGGAAGTAGTAGAGGACTTTGCCCAAGGACGTGGTGTGCGCCCCATCTGTGAATGCCTTCAAGCACAGACTGGACAAGCACTGGATCAACCTGGCATACAAGGCTTCAGATTGATGCAAGCCAGCCAGTGATCAAAAAGGTCATAATTCAAAAAGCTGGGAGCTCGTCAAGAGAGGATCGACCAGGCCACAGAGCCTTCCTAATCCTATCTTATCAGGCATCAGGTAGAGCAGGCTTGCAATCAAGAATAGATGCTGGTAAATGTCAAGTTTAAGTCCTAAGCAGATTTCATGGATAATTTTTTCATATTCTTACATTATTTGCATGGGTGGAGAAATATGCCGAGTTGGGGTTGCACGGGCGCAGCAAATCCGCCGCCGCCCTAGCGGTGACCTTGACCTCCGCCGTCTGGTGCGGCTCCAAAGCCAAGCCGGCGCAGCTGGCGTGGAATTGGGAAGGCTCGTGCTACCCCAACTCGACACAATTGTCCACCCCTGATTATTTGACATCCTGAATACAAAAATGATACTTATATGTCTCACAAATAAAAGAAAAAACAATCCAACCTGACCTAACCTTACCTACTTACCTATAACCTATGGAGATATTTATTTCTAACAAAACCAAACCAAAACCAACAAAACCTAACCTGACCTACAACCTTCAATCTAAAAAGCATAAATAACAACCTACAACCTAAAACCTATAAACCTACAGGGCGCTCTCCTTAGTAAGAAAACCTTCATGTGACATAGGTATGCTCTACCAATGCCCCTGTTATACCTTGTTTAAGTCTATTTGGATTCCTCTGGGTTTTCTAGACTGGCGGAACATTAAAATGAGCTCAGCCCAGATATGATGTTTGTTGGCTGATCATAAGTAGGTACCTACCACATTTTTAAATGTATGAGGTAGTTTGGGTAACATCCTCCTCTTGCACCCTAGGCTCAAGCCTCAAAAAATGATTAGAAACAATGCTATATTGTCAAAAACCATACCTATATTAACCAAGGAAAATGTTCAAACAATAATTTACTCCTAAAATACAAGTAGGTACACTATGAGCAGAAATAACAAAACCTGACCTTACCTTATACTTAACATAACCTCACCTTACCTGAATCAATGGGTGGTTGGGTGTAACATATAAATGTTTTGTGTAAAAAGTAACAGAAGCATTGATGTGTGAGCTTTATTTTTAAGCTTAGAAGGATGTGTCCTTTCCTTTCATGTTCTTATTTAGCCATCTTTTATTTCATCCTGACCTTTATTCAGTCAGTTTGAATTGCATCATAACCAGCTATTCTAAGCCATCTGATGATGATTTTTGTTTCAGGTAGCTTTTCCCTCTTCATGTTCTAAGATTGTCACTAACTGAAAGCCAAAGCAGAGCTGAAGATGTCTTGTCTCATCATTCCTCGCTCAAGTGTCTGCCACATTCTGAGGAAATGCATCAACAATCAGTACACACACAAGAGCCACTTGCTGCCAGCGGTGGGCGCCGGCGGCGTCCGAGCGCTGTCCTGTAGCTCCGCTCTGCGCGCCGGGCCGACGCCCCCGGGCGGTGGCAAGAAGGTGTTCCAGAGAGACAAGCCGCACGTGAACATCGGCACCATCGGCCACGTGGACCATGGCAAGACCACGCTCACCGCCGCCATCACAAAGATCCTCTCGTCAAAAGGTACGGCAAAGGTCTTCCGAAAATACTTTTCTGTTTCATTATTGTAAGTTGTATTTTTGGCATATGATTTACTTCAAATATAAATTTGACCTAAATCTGAGAAAAGCTTGCTGGATTATACTGGTTACGGGCAGTTCCGTGAGTCCTTCCTTCTGCAATGGTCTCATTCTCCCCTATCCTCCGTGCAGGTAGCGCCCAGGCCAAGAAGTACGATGAGATCGACAACGCGCCGGAGGAGAAGGCGCGAGGCATCACCATCAACGCTGCGCACATTGAGTACGCGACGGACGCGCGGCACTACTCGCACACAGACTGTCCCGGCCACGCCGACTACATCAAGAACATGATCACGGGCACGTCGCAGATGGAGGGCGCGGTCCTGGTGGTGGCCGCCACCGACGGTGTCATGCCTCAGACACAGGAGCACATGCTGCTCGCCAAACAGATCGGCATCGAGAAAATGGTCGTCTTCATCAACAAGGTTAGTCGTTGATACGAGCGCTTATGTGATCAGTCGTGTTAAAACTTGCGGTTGTCGCCAATTTATTTAAGTTGAGCATTATAAAACTGAAATAATCTTGTTATAGCCAAAACGCGACTCACATAATTGCATCGTAGAAATAATCCATTCTTGTTGTAGCCATAAAGCGACTCAAATAATTGTATCGTAGAAATAATCTTAAGCATCGTAGTCCATGATTAGATTTATAGTCGTATTGGCTGCCGAGCCGGCCGATGCCTGTTCTCTGCTGTCGTCTCGGATTATTGTGACGCTCACGCTTACCCTCCCCCTCCTGACCGACTCCAGGTGGACGCCGCTGACGAGGAGATGGTCGAACTCGTCGAAATGGAGATCCGAGAGCTGCTCGACAAGATGGGCTACGACGGCGAGGGCACGCCCGTCATCAAGGGCTCGGCGCTGTGCGCGCTCGAGGAGAAGAGCCCCGAGATCGGCCAGCAGGCCATCGAGCAGCTGATGTCCGCCATCGACACGTACATCCCCACACCGGAGCGAGCGCTCGACAAGCCGTTCATGATGCCCGTGGAGGGTGTGTACACCATCACCGGGCGGGGCACGGTGGTCACCGGACGCCTGGAGCGCGGCACCGTCAAGAAGGGTACCGAGTGCGAGTTCTTCGGCTACAACAAGCAGACCAAGACGACCATCACGGGTATCGAGATGTTCCACCAGACCCTGGAGGTGGCGCACGCCGGCGACCAGCTGGGCGCACTGGTGCGCGGTGTCAAACGAGACGATATCAGGTGCGGCTCGGGCTGTCTGTCTTTTTTTGTCTGGTTTTCGGTGTTCGTCTTTATGGCTGTTCGGTCTTTTGTTCGTTCGTTCGTTGGTTCGCTCGCTCGTTCGTTCGTTCGTTCGTCTATTTTTGTTTTGTTTTGTTTATCTGTATGCTTCTTTCACTAATTTCCCCCGTCAGTTTTGAACTTCATACACCCAGCGTTCACGTCATTATTGACTCGTTGACCCACGAGTTTGTTTTCCACTTTATGATTACGGATTAACTTCGGTTTCAGACTGTCAGGGCATTGCCGATCAGGACAGGAATCACCTGGGCCATGACACTTCATGAACTGCAGAATATCTTTATATTACTATTTAAGTGTATTTATCTGCTCGCGATGACACCGTTCGGTGAGTGATCGCTATCCACCGGACGCTGACCTGTCACTTCCCCTCCCGTCAGGCGAGGCATGGTGATGTGCAAGCCGGGCACGATGAAGGCGCACGACAACGTCAAGGCGCAGGTGTACGTGCTGAAAAAGGACGAGGGCGGCCGCGCGCGGCCCTTCACCTCCTTCATCCAGCTACAGATGTTCAGCAAGACCTGGGACTGCGCCGCTCAGGTCAGTCAGTGTGGTGGTTAGGTCAGGCTACCCGGCGATACGATCACCCCAGGAGACTAGGAGACTAGGAGACACATTATTTGGGGACCAGGAACGTGGAAGTGCCTCACACGCCATACAAGCAGCATTAGCGTGGGGTTTAGTCATTGTGTGTGTGGGATAGCCCTGGTCTACTATACTTGTTTATGCTATGAAGTATGATGTTTTAACTGTTGGCGAGCTTTCGCGAGCCGTTTATAGCATGCCCCCCCCCCCCCCCCGTATATCATCCGAGCCCGGACCCGGAGATTAACTCCAATGGGCATTGGTGATCCTTTCTTAGACTACATGTGGTTACATGTTTTCCTTAGTGATCCCCAGTGTGCTCAGTCTCTCCAGTGTCCCAGCGGGCCGGTCCTTCCTGTCTGGCGCGGGTTGTACCTCCGATCCCGCTTTGCTGTGCGTTTCCTACCCTAACTCCCTTTTTGTCCGCCAGGTGGTGGTGAACGATAAGGAGATGGCGATGCCCGGCGAGGACGCTGCCCTCTCCCTCCGCATGCACCGGCCAATGGTGCTGGAGAAGGGCCAGCGGTTCACCCTCCGTGACGGCAACACCACACTGGGCACGGGCGTCATCACGGAGGTGCTGCCCAACATGAACCCCGACGAGGTGGCCACTCTCCAGGAGGGAAAGAAGAAGCGCGCCAAGCGGCTCGGTCTCAGTACCTCAGAGTGATGGCGCGTGGGTCTCGGTGAGAACAGGACAGGCCGCCGACGGGCCGGACGAACTGAGAGTGAGCGTCTCCGGTGTCTACTGTGTGGTCTGTGCTCTTTGTGGTCGTGTGAGTGTGGTGGTGCTACGTTGCGATGACGTGTGTCGCTGATGACGTGGTGACGACGTCACTGTGTGATTACGTCACCGGCGGAGGAGGCGGCAGTTCCGGCGGGACACCGTTCCGAGCGCAGGGTGGCGGTCGGCGCGGGCCCTGAGGCGCAGTCCTGCGACCCGCCGCCGGCTGTTGCCCGGCTGACCAGCGCTCGTCGGCTGCCCGCCGCCCGACAGACTAGTGTGATACAATATATGCTGGATCCTTTACGGTGGTGTTATAAACGGGAAGGCGTCATCCGTTTGGGACGAGTCCGATCAGATGATTAAGATTGTCTACAGTCGCCAGTCAGTGGCTCAAAATCCGGGGTCCTGGATGTCAGTGGAACGAGGAATAGCACAGGTTGCAGAGCAGACGGAAAGCGATTTCATCTGTCCCCGGGGAGAGGCCGCATTGCCTCTTCCATCACAATTTGCATAAATTCGGGCACAAAGGACTAACGTCATATCACTCTAAAAACAGCTCAGCCAGCCGCAGTACCGGTACCTGGCACTCACGCGATGGCACAAGTCAGCCGTAACCGGCGCTTGTCTAAATTCAAAACCCATTGCAGGAAGAGTCGCGAGCTAGGCCGCATATATTACATAATTCCAACGGATGAGGTGGGGATGCGGTGCAAAATTCATCCGAAAGCTTTGCAGTCCGCTGCTCTGGCATTTCCGTGTATTTATGACCATGTAACTACGGAGAAATGTAGAAGAGCAAAAGAATAATCAATTTCTGGATATCATACTGCCACCCTCCAAGTTTCATGCAATCAGTCTGTTGGCAATGCGAGAGACATTACTGATAAAAACACCATGAATAGGGTTTCGACTTTCGAGCCTGAATCATGTATTGTCATTTGCACTGTTGCTAGCTGTCCATGATTCCGACTAGTATCAAAAATAGCAGCCGGTCACATCGCCAAAACGAGCTCACAAACATCGGTTGCCGGTAGGACATTGCATCAAACATACTAACGTTACGCTCTCGAAAAAACCGACGTGTTCCACAGTTCTCGCCATTACTACGCCGGCATCCATCCCAGCAAGCTCGGTAGGCGATGCACGCCTCGTTGAAACACATCCTGCTCAGGTCCTCATGGCTCGATAGTGTCACAAACTAAGGTCTAACCTCTTGCTTCTGGCAGTGATGCGGCAGTCCGCAGGGCTCAAATTTGCACATTGTCGATACGATGAGACACAAAACAGCGTTAGGGACGCCGCGGGAGTACGTAACAGCCAACAGTCACGGGGCCCGGTAGGTAATACGGCACATGAAACATCACACGGCACGAGTTTTCGCGTCAACGTTGGCGTGGAGTCTTGCACACTTCTGCGTCCAAACGGTATGACGTTGCTAGCGTGACCAATCACACAGTGGCTGACGTGCCAAAGAGCATATCAATACGCTGGGGACATCAATGCTGATAAGACGCTTGCAAGACACTCATCAACCAAAACCCGCACGTCTCACCGAGAAAGAACATCTTTACGCCACTTACATCGCATATGAGTTTGATATCGCAGTATAGCGTTACCTCGGACTATGAGAAGCCCCGGGGCCGGGTGAGCACTTACGACAGGTCGCTGCAAGATATCAAAGTCGGTCCTTGTAGAACAGCAGTAGCACTGCGAACATGTTGAAGGCCATGCTGAAGCCCAGGAGTAGCGCTATGAGTAGACTGCGGTGTGTGACGACCACCTCTGACATCCCACTGGTGGCTGTCCGGTGTGAGGTCACTGACCGGTCACTCAGGAGACTGCTCGAGTCCAGCGCGGCGGCCGGGCCGCGGCGGAGGTGCGCGCCCTGGTCGGGCGGCGGGCGGCCGCGCCACTCTCCCGCGCAGCTGCGCCAGTCGGAGCGCTGCGAGCCCACGCAGCTGGGCGCGTGCAGCCAGGTATCGCCCGCGCAGCTCGGCGCGTCACACTGAGAGCCAGCCCAAGCGGCAGGCTCGTCCTCGCCGTGCACCGACCCAGCGGCTGGCGGAGGCGACGGGGCCGGCCCACACGCGTCCACGAACCCACTCGACTGGCTAGACGATCGCGACGCGATCTGAGGTCCAGCGGCCGGCGGAGGCGCCTGGCCACGCTGCCAGTAACCTCCAGCGATCCACGAGGAGTGGTGCACTTCGGAACGCAGCCGGGCCGGGCTGAGCAGCGGCGTCTGCCGGCGGTCCGCAAACAGCGAGCCACCGGAGCCCGGCCGGTAGGTCCGCAGAGCGAAAACCCCTCCGGAGCCGGCCGGCCGGCGCGGTGAGCCCAGGCTCAGCCGAGGCAGGTTGTAGTCGTAATCGGCCTGAGCGGACTGCTGGGCCGTGATAGGGGAGGGGAGGTTGTCGTCAGAGGAGGCCGGAGGTCCGTGCCCGTTGGAGATGGGGCCGTTGTGACCGCTAGTGGTGCCGTTACACTCCGCCTTAGGAGTTGAGCTGGCAGGTGCTGACTCTAAAACCGATGAAGGACGTCGTTTAGTCACCGTTGAACTAGACCGACGGCTGGCTCGTGACTTCAGCGAGAGGAGTAGTAGTGCTGATAAGAGCAGAGTCTGCAGCTGTGCAGCAGTGCTGGCGGTGATGTGCGGCCCGACTAACGTCTCCGTCGCAGAGACTGCCGTCCAGAGCAGCAGCCCCGTCACTGTCTGTAAATTCACACCTCGCCGGGCAGTGAGAACCCACACACCAAAACATATCACCAGCAGCGCGGCGCGGCTCTCAGAGAACACATCCTCGAGCTCGAGCAGCACCGGTCGGTACTGCGTCGGTACCAGACCCGGCCACAGAGCCAACAGGGTGTTGTTACAGAGCAGCAGGAGTAGTAGTAGCAGGCCTGCTGGCAGTACCAGCGTCACAGCGGCGCTCACCGTGGAACATAGTCTGCCCACCGCCCCCCGCGCCGCAGCGGCCGCCGTCAGCGCGGCGGAGCGGGTAACTGCCGCACTCCGTGTCTGTCCTGTACCCGTTCGACCAGTCGCCGGCAGTCGGCGCCGCAGCCAGGCCAGCCAGGCGGGCCGGACCCGCTCGTCCGCCTCCCGCAGAGCGCTGGCCACCACCGCCTGGCAGTGTGCGCACGGCTGGTAGACGCGCTCCAGGTGACAGGAGTACTCTTCCAGCTCCTGTTCCCAGCGGTGCTCCAGCACGGGTCGGAACTCTGCCAGCTGTCGCGCCTTCAGCTGCTGCTGCAGGTTACACTGCTGGCAGAGCTGCCAGCGTGCCGCGGCCGCCGTGGCCGGTTTCACGGCCACGTTGTAGCGGACGGCGCGCGGCTGGGCGCTGGCGGCCGCCGCTGCCGGCGTCACATCGCCGTCCGCGGTGAAACTGTTGAACTGGTCGCACTTGGGGCACTCCCACGAGTTTTGGGAGTGCGCGGGCACCAGTGAGTCTTCGGAGCAGTACCAGCAGTTGACACTCACACTCATAGCTTGACAAAACTGCAACAGTCAGTGGACGAGAGCATGGTCACATAAACGTCACAGTACCAAACACTCAAGCGGCAAGATCAGGGTCGCATTATCAGATTTCTTCAAAATGAAAGGTTCAGGGGAAAACTAAGCTAATGATTCAAATCTGCCTGTGATCGGTTAGCCGGACTCGTGCAAGGTGGGGCGGCGGGTCAGTGGCGTCATTGGCAACAAACACTGCTTGGAGTGGCACCCGGACCCAAAGCAGCCCAGTCACCAATTAAGAAAACAGTTCTAAACAAAAAAAATCCACTATTAGCTAATCGTCAAGCTCTCGTCAATCGCTTCACAACTTGTTGCAGTCAATAAAGTCATCAACAACTTATTCGGAACGCCATTGGCTTTGTTCAACGACATTCTCTGTCAGCATCGCTCCTGAAAGACCTGCAGCGCTAGCAGTTCCTTGGGCGGGCTAAATTTGTTCTGAGAGACGAGGATACGTATTTTTAAAGAATGATTCGTAAAAAAGAATAGGCCGACAAAACGCTCATTACGAGCGCCGGGAAAACGCTCAAATGGCTAATTCTGACGACCATCTGCTCACTCATGTCATTAGATGTCCTCCGAACCGGGCGACCGCGTCAAGAAACGAAATTATGTGAACACTTCATTTATTTGGTCCAGTTCAACTCTCGGACACAGACATTCTTCAACCAGGGACGCCTGGTGACGCACTGTTGATGGACCCACTTGTCACATACTTGTAAGTTGTAATGTAACTATATCCCTCGGGCCAGAGACGTGCCCGCAACTGTTCTTCCCAGTCATCTACCACTCTCGTTTTACTTTACTGAGTGAACTGCTTATGGCATCCGCGAGACACTGCAGCTGATCGGGACTGATCTTTTCGTTTGCTATCATGTCCATCACGGTCGAGACAGTACAATCTGACTCACTTTATACGCGGCTAAAGTCACCGCTTGCCACGTCTTCTGTTTGGATAGAGGCGTCACAAATAGAGTTGCAAAGTTTCCCCTAAAGGCTGCTACCGGCACCGCCCCGACCCACAATTTTTTTTTGGGGATACCGGCATGCTACCACGCCCAAAGCAAAAACACCACCAAATTACCGGCATACTAAAAACCTGCATTGTTGATTCCAGTTTACCCCTACAAGAGATGCCACATTTTCCTCTTAGTGTCCAAAGTTTGAAGCATATACTAATATTTTTTTGTGCAAAACCAAAAATACCGGCATGCTACCGGCAAGACATGCCAGATACCACAAAAAACCTGCGGTAGTGAAAAATTACCGGCATGCCGGTAATGCGGTAGGGAAACTTTGCAACTCTAGTCACAAAGGAGTGCTACTGCCATTGCCTTGGACGAAGTGGTCGTTTCTTCTGATTTATTTGTACAGGTTGTCCGGAAATTATTTGCCCCTTGTTCATTCAGCTAAATCCCACCATGCGCTTTAAAAACTGTTGAAAATTTGCTAAGACCGTGCCTCAGGCTATCCACAGCTGTCGGTTAGCCAGATGACCTAACCCGGTCACCTGAACTTGACACTTGCGAGGCGCCAGCGGCCAGTGTTTGGCAGGCGTAACTCGCACCTGAACGTGGTGTCTACTGTCTACTATGACCGTAAAAAAAAAACTCTTTGATAAAGCGTCATCGCGCTGAAGTTATGGTGAAGACTGCAATGAAGTAGGAAGTCAAATCGAATTCTCTGTCCTAATGCCAATCGAAAACCTATAGGGAAGTCATGAAGGAGGAGCTCAGCAAGATTGAGCCAGCTCCCACAGAAAACGGACTATAGAGGAACCTTTGAAAGGTGTGGCTGAACATCAGCGCGGATACACTGGACATCTTGATTTATGAAATGCCAAAGCGGATGAGGGAGTGGGTGGGACAGGTCAGGGGATAAATCGGTAAATAAACCATGACCCGAGGGATCTTTGTTTATTAATTATGGCGGTGAGTTGATGGAGGGGCAAATAATTTCCGGACACCCTGTAGTTGCTTCAATTGTTTCTTTTGAAGAAGTTGTTTTATTTGTTGCTTTTATTATTTCCACCTTTACAGTCATTGACCTGACCTTGAAGCCAAGGTCACCCATTGACCTAGGACATTAAAATTAGGCATCATTGGCTTCCTCTCATCACGGGTAACACGCTAGTTTCTTTCTGCAAGGCTCTAGCACAATAAGGAGCCAAACAGCTGGGACCCTCACTCCTCAGGTACGTTGGATGTTGTAAAAAGGCCACTGTGTGCGCGAGGCCATCCCCGTTTTGGACAAACGTTTTCAAAGAAAATAAGACAGAAGACCACATCTATGCACAACCTGCTTTTAGCTCTGCATATTTTTGGAAAGGCAGGCCGTTGGAACCTATATTTGCAATGGAAGGCCGTTGGAGGACGCAACAAGTCATTTCAGGTAAGATAAAAAGATCTCTGTCATGAACTTGCGCAATGTCCGGAGCTGAAGCCAGACTGGAAAACATCCATACACTACGCCGGACGCCCGTGAGACCCTCGTGCGCCGAAATTCGGTGCATGAAATGCGCTGAAATTTTTGCATGATTTGCGCTGAAAGTTGGATTAACTATTTTTGCTAAAATTAAGCGACTTTTACATAAAGTGCATGTGCTCGTCTACCGACTTAGACTACAACCAAGGAACGTTCTGGGGCCTTGGATGCTCTCCCATGTAAGAGCATCCGAATTTGTTGATGTTTCCATGTAAACCCAATAGGTACCTACCTACCACAATGCACTTAGGGCACTGTACCATCATGGCATGAAAACGGGCCCGGCCCGTGAGTTCCGAATTTCTGGGGCCACAAAAATTGGCTTAGCAGTGCGTTCGAGCCCTAGGTGTCTCGCGACCTGCGGCCACCCGCTAACCAGTCGCCATGGTAATGAGATGCATCGACCACATAGCATAACATCACCTACTTCTAGCCTAAAAGAATGCTTCTCTGTCAAGGACCGGGTAGCGGAGCAGCACGTTCTCCGGCAGGCGGCACGTCAGCCCTTCCCGGCACACGGCGCGCACGGCGGAGACGGCAGGAACTGCCGTGAGTCGCCTGATTGGCCGCTAGCTAAGCCCCGCCTTTTTGACAGCGGGAGCTGCGGCGGCCGCAGACACTTGAACAGGGCCCCAGAACTGCTGGCACGTCGCGGAGAGGAGGCGGCCGATCCGGTGCAGGTACTGGAGCGAGCGGCCCCAGTGGTCCGCCTTCATCTGATGCACCGAAACGGCGGCCTCTTGGTCCTCTCCGGGGATGGGGAGCAGCAGAGTACTCCCGAAGACGTAGAAGGAGTCGGGCCAGTAATTGTCGCGCCACTGACGAGAGGCCGCTCGATAGACTGCCCATGTTAGCGAGCGGGCATCTGAGGGCACGGTGTCGGGTTTATAGATGGTCTTGGGCAGCGCAGCCGCTTGTTTGGCCAAATCGTCCGCGCGTTCAGTCCCTCGATTCCTAGGTGGGCGGGAACCCACCGCAGTATCACCTCACGGCGTTCGGCGATATTCAGCAAGGTCTTCCATATCTCCACGCCGAGGGTGGAGGTCTGGGCTGGGCGGCCGCAACTCCACTAAGCGCTGAGAGCAGACTGGGTGCGGCTCGCGAGTCGGAGCATGCTACGACCTGGGCAAGGGATGTCTCGTCCTGAACCCTTTTCAGAGCCGCCCGCAGGCCGAATCTGCTGCTATGTTGACCACTGTGCCAAAAATTTCGGTGATTGTCGTTCTCCCCAAAAATTGTGGCCATGCGCCAAATAATTCAGCAGCCACCATGTGCTGTTTTCGGCGCACGTGAAGTCAGGCGTCCCGGACGTGCGCCGAAATTTTTGGCGCAATCCTGCCACTACGCTGAACATATTCGGCATAGCGTGTATTTTTTTCAGTCTGGAGCTGAAGCAGGAGTTAAAGTCTATTTTGGAAGCTGGAGTCAGTGTCAGAGTCAGTCATCAAAAAAATCCATAGGCTCTTGCTTATTAGAGCTTTAGGTCGAGTCAACTACTAAGGTCGCAGTAGGTAGCATGCAGTGGTATATTGATATGCTGCTTTGTGTGCAAAAAGTGCCACACTTTCAAATAAAGTCGCTAGGAACAGCGGATATTTCAAAACGTAAACAAATGTTAAAGTCTAATATCTTGAAAACCGGTGAATATTTTTCAATGAAATTTAGTAGGCATTCGTTTTCACCCTCTCTGAACCGAGCGACATCAATTTCAAACCAATTCATTAGCTTTTTCAAGGTCAATGTGGGAGGGTCCCTTTAATCCAGGCTTTCCGGTTCAGGGCATCCAGAAAAGTGACATGAATATACCTGTGGATACTTTTTCACCTGAAACCTTTCGCAAAAGTGATGAAAACCACTTAGGACATCTAAACCGATTCAAACACACTTATCTTCTCAGTTCTCACGGTTCTCACGCTTTTTCAGTTGGGCAAACTAGACTTTTGGAATCAAAATATGGAGGCATCAATAATTTGATTCTGGTGGGAGGAGCCATGACCAAATATGGGCATGGAATCAATTTTTTGATTCATTTGGGTACGGTTTTTACTTCAAATGAACCGTTACGGTTGAAAAAAGGCCCATGACGGTGAGATTTTTCTTTTAAAAGGTAGAAAAATGTGGTAGGTTTGCAAAAAGTGTTACCTCAAAGCTAAGAAATTGTCCCTTTGGCCTTGTGAATGAGAAAAAGACAGAGCCACTGTCCATCACGTAAAAGCTGTTTTGGGGAAATCACACTGTATGTTATTTTTGTATCATGAATCACATACTAACCAATCAGTATTTGTGTAAAATGGCAAAATGAATTTTTTCAACCCCTAATTATCATTGTTGTAGTGCTTTTATATTATTTACATGGTTTTTACCTGTTGCTTCGGTTTTTGTATTCTTGACATTTTAAAATTGTGAATTGTTATCAAATGTAGTAAAGGTCAAGTACAACAATGCTATAGGTATCAGTTGTGGTGCTGAGGATACCACTAAATGAGAATAATGGCAAGATAAGTGCCGTATTCTTGCAAGTCATTGTTGCCTATCTGTTAACATTACCTGTGAATCAAAATAATGATTAGCCAGCTGACAGTGAATCAATATTATGATTATCTGTTTAAAGTGAATCAATTCCTTGATTGCCTTTCACTACCTATAGAATTCAAATTGTTATGATAGGAGCAATATTATTTTGCTTAGGAGATAGTTCAAGCATTTCTGTTCAAGATCAGGCATGCTCCTTCTTGAAACACTCTCTTATTTTTATGTGATTGGTAAGTTAGAAATGGTCTGCATTTATGCCCAAAAGGAATCAATCTTTTGATGCCTCCATATTTTGATTCCAAAGGTCTAGTTTGCCCAACTGTTTTGATGCTTCCGATGCTTCTCACGCACGCGGCCGACGCGGGAGCCGCGCAGGAAACGGCAAGTCAAACGTCTCAAGTAGTTCACAATAGCAGACATTTAAGGAAATTTTGTAAGCTAATTCACTGCAAAAATGCCTACCATCGAGAAATACGAATATCGTTAGAACACAGATATACTTCACATAAAAAGCTATATTTTTAATAGAAGAACGTCATTTAATTGATTTGTAAGCGTTGAAATAGCTTAGATTTCAAGCAGAGAGGCTCAAATGCCTAAACTCAGTGTTTGATGGCGATGAAGAACATCTACAAACTATTCGCTGAATGTTGAAACATGGGCATGGAAAAGGTCTCAGACAGTTAATTTGTGAATTTTTAATTAGTTAACCACAAAACTGTGAAGCTTTCTATTTTGATACAGGGTCGTATTCAGAATTTGTATCTTCCTGCGCTCATTTATCCATTTCTTCGATGTCGTATACACTGCGATATTTGTGCAAACATACCGATAAGTGTTGTTTTCCAATGGCATATGCCACGAGGACACACACTTTCCAGTCATCTGGCCATGTCTACAGGACATCATCGTGGGGAGACTGTGACTGGCGTGTCCTGATCCTATCCGGGTTCCTCCTGCTCCAGTCCTTACTACCGGCTGCGAAGCAGGAGCCCCACCAGGTAAGAGTACCAGGTAAGAGCGATCGATTAAGCAAAATGTTATTTCTTGATATTATTCAGCAGTTTCAAATATTCATTATTATGAACATTTAAAAAGCGGATGTCAAGTGCTTTTCTAGACAACGCCCTTGACGCTGAATATCACTGCCTTAAATATCAGTCATAATATAGTAGTCCCAATCTTTTGATGACTCTTTGCATGCGCCACTTTTGTATGCATTACTTGCCGGTGTGAAAATTTTTTCATCACGCACCCAAAATTATTATTTTTCTCGTGCTCTCGTGCGGTGAGCTAGGGAATCTCGAATCATCGCGATTCGCGGTTTTGTTGACTGTTGTGCAAGGCCCTGTAACGCCCTACATTGGCATAGGGCTGATGTGTTTTTTGCAGAGCGTGTCTTCATTTTTCATAGCCACGTTGCATTGACGTCAACGTGTGACGGCCTACCGTGCTTTGAAAGCGCGAATTGAAACGAATCGAATCAGCCTTTTCGTCTGTTGTGAGACAGCGTTCGAATCAGAGTTGGCTGCTATCTTAATTAAAAAAGTGCTGCTGTTGAGCCGAGGCATAGATAATTAATTACTTATTTTGACTAGGTGAGTACTGTAACCCGCCTACCTACTATTGTAATATTGGACGGTGCCCGACAGTGCAAACAGGGCCGCGCCTGGGGCGATTTGACCAAGTGTCTTGAAATTCTCACAAACCACTTGACAACCACCGTGTAGAAGCCAGAAGGCCTAGAGAGGGGGAGAACTTCTTTTGAGCCACGTGACTATATTTTGCCCTCAGCCTCCGGCGCCCTGTTTTCACCAGCATCTTCCCTCAGGTCAATATTAATATTAACCTGAGGGCTGAGGCCAGTTTTACCAGCAAAAATTGTAGGCTGCCGGATTTTATGCTTAAAGTTATTCTTTAAATGTTGTTAATACTTATTTCAGCCAGCATAAGTTCTATGCCTCTATTTTTCACATAACATTTTTATTTTGTGTGAATGGCTGCACATTATAAAAATTAGACTTCTAGAATAAAAATAGTGGCAGTAGGCTATTTTTCTGTTGATAAAACTGGCCTCTGTTCTGTACCCCTTTTGTAGTTGCTAAATCCTCTAGCTTACAGTGGTGACTGGTGACTCACCAGTGGTGAGAGCCTAAGTCAGGGTCCAAGTTGCACTATAAAATAGGTTAACTTGCTTGACAAACTATTTAAAAGAATAGTGGTTTTTACAATGGGTGAAGTAAAACTTAAACTTTTTGCTATGAATTCCCTTTTCAGGCACTCACTCTCCCTCTCCATCTCACTCTTCTTCTCTCATTCTTTCTTTCCTCTCCCCATCTCTCTCTCTCTCTCTCTCTCTCTCTCTCTCTCTCTCTCTCTCTCTCTCTCTCTCTCTCTCTCTCTCTCTCTCTCTCTCTCTCTCTCCCTCTCTCCCTCTCTCCCTCTTTAAACTCCCTCCATTTTCCCTGCTGATGAGACAGCATGATCAGATGGACCATACTACATTTGTTGTCCACCATTTGGATTTTCCCTCAAAATGCAGATCTTATTGCTGTTTTTTTTTTTACAAGTTTCTTTCCCATGAAGTCAGCCACATGGGCAATCTTGTACTGAGACATTCTTCTTGAGACATTCTTCTTGAGACATTCTTGACATTCTTGAGACGTGTCTGGGAACACGTCACTAATTTTTCTTAATGCCAGTCATTCTGTGAGCCCATATGTTGGGTATATTTCATAAATAAATTCATATTTTAATACATTAATCTCCCACCTGTGTCTTGTGGGTATATCTCCTGACTACCTAGTACCTGTGTATGCCAATTTCCACATGTGTCCTTTTGTGTGAACTTTCAGAGAGCCATGCAGAGAGTGGCATTACCAGTGCTGTTGCTGCTCCTCACTCTTGGAGGAGTGAGGTCCCAGGCAGCAGAAGACCCGGATTCCGATGTTACTGTGGAGACTGAGGTAGGTGTGATTGTTGCAAATTTGGCCTCTCAGCATTGTTCAATTTAACCATATAAGTTATGCAGTTTATTGCTGGCTTTGATGTTACACACTGGCATATAACCCATGTGTTAATTCCACTACTGCAGATCCAGACCACTCTATGTACCCCTTCCCCCATTGACAGGGCGAAGAGGGCGCGCCAGAGGAGATCCCCTACGCGTCGCCGACGGTACCCCGTGACGCCTTTTTCGCGGAGCATTTCGACGACCCTGCCGCCTTCGAACGCCGCTGGGTTCGCTCCCAGGCAAAGAAAGACGGCGCCGACGATGAGATCGCTAAATATGACGGTAAGTTATGGCAAAAATGACCATTATGAAAAGCGGGAACTCAAAGGAATGTGATATGTGATGCCTTGTAGGAACTCGTAGTGTGATGTACGAAAACAGCAACCATATGCAATGCTGAGTTTAGTATGTGGCTTCATTGACCACCACTCTTTGTCTAACAGAGTAACCTCTGTATGATATGCCACCCAGTCCCATCCAAAGTACTTTTTTTTTTGAAAATGCAAGTTTTTTTCCAAAGTACTTGGTTCCAGCTACCTCATATCCTAATGTTCATCTTGTATCCCTAAAGTGACGAACTGACCCTAATCTTGCTCCACTGTGCAGGCGAGTGGGAGATCGCGCCGCTGGTGAAGCACGCGCTCCAGGGCGATCGCGGACTGGTGCTCAAGACACGCGCCAAGCACGCAGCCATCAGCAGCCGCCTCACCAAGCCGTTCCACTTCCTCACCAAGCCGCTGGTGGTTCAGTATGAGGTGAGTCGGGGAGACGAGTGGTCAGGGCCGGGCGGTGGGACGCTTCAGATGGCTGCTGCCGGCTGGCCACCGCTGGGGAAAGGCTCAACTCAGCTGTGGTGCAGTTGATTGAATGTCTTATGTTACTGTTGTTGTGTTTTTTTCTTCGATTTTTTCGTGCGCCATATGAGTTGTGCACTGTTGCCCTGCTGTTCTTGGCCAGCTTGGTGACTGAGCGTGCGTGTGCCGTACTCAGGTGAACCTGCAGAACGGTCAGGAGTGCGGCGGCGCCTACCTGAAGCTGCTCTCGGACTCCCCGGACCTGAGCCCGGCCGGCTTCCGCGACCAGACGCCGTACACCATCATGTTTGGGCCGGACAAGTGCGGCAACGACAACAAGGTGCATTTACCTCCCGCTGACCGGGCTGCAATGAGGGTTCTTTTCGGCCGTTACCGGATTATTCTCAGATGGGGAATTCAAGTTTCACTAACCCCAGAGTGAATCCACGTCTATATTATGTTCAGTCTTGAACTGCTTCTGCTTTCTTGAGTGTTGCAATGTGTGTGCAACATGTGTATTATGTATTATTTGCTCAAACTTCAAGCTAACCGTTTCCCTTCCCCGACCTGTCCGCAGCTGCACTTCATCTTCCGTCACCGCAACCCTGTGACGGGCCAGTATGAGGAGAAGCACGCTAAGCGTGCCACGGGTGCCATCGACTCGGCGTTCACGGACAAGGCCACCCACCTGTACCGTCTAGTAGTGCGGCCCGACAACTCGTTCGAGATCTACCTGGACGACAAGGTGGGTTACGACCCTCACAAACTCTCATATTACGGCGAACCTTTGATGGTATATATACGCTGAACCCCAACAGCACTGAAAAAAGTTGGCTTGTCATGGCGGAACGAGCGACGATGACTTGGAGGGCCTGAGATGCCTTTCTGCTGGCCGTTCCGTCCGCTTCGATAGTCTTTTTGTTTCGCTTTTTTATTACAGTTTCCTAAGTGAACGCCGTTTAGCCTAGATGTTACGCGCCCCCAAACATTATCATGCTCAGGATTTCCTTCCCGTCACTCCCTATCTCCTGTTTCCGTATAACATCGATACTGCAGCTACGGTACATCTGTGACACTGACATATGTACATGACCATCACGGTAATAAACCTGATGGGGTTGCTGTAACCGGTACATTCACATGTGGTAATACAGTTCGTTTCCCATTACCGTGATCACTAATCACTGTGATCGTGGATTGGGTTGGGCCAGCCTTCCCCACCCGTGTTTCATTTAGCCGAGCCGGTCATTGCCCCTCTTCTCCGGCCGTGTCTGTGTACAGAGAGCAGACTAGTGTGCTGGGGTCAATGGCCCGGCCATTGCCGTCAGGCGTGCGTGACCGCGACTAATGTGTGTAAGTGGTGGCCGATCACGAGCAACTTCTAGCGTTCAAATATCTGACGGAGGGAAGGGCTCCGGGGAGGGCGTTCGGTTTGTTGAGTGGGGAGGGGTGGGGCTCGTTGAAAACTCACTATGTGACGTGGGATGACAAGGGGGGGGGGGGGGCGGTACTCGGTGGGTAGAGACGGACTGACTGTCCAACCGTCTCTGTTTGGGCAGTTTGGGTTAACTACTGCTGCTCCATACTGGGTGGTGGGTGCTCTGCATTCCGCTGTTCATTATATTTACGGCACGGGTATGTTCCATTCCAGCCGGCCGGACGAGTAATTAGACCGGCTGGACTGGACACGCTAGGCTCATTATGCACACCAGCTGTGCTAACATCAAGCGGATTAATATGCAATCTCTGCAATATGAATGCGTCTGTTCGGACCGTTCTAATCTATGTTTAACTCTCCGGTCCGCGTTGCCGTTGACCCATGTGTAAATATATGCATGCATCTACCATAAAGCTGACCGTCGCCTGTCGTTCTTATGCTGACCTGTGACCGACCGGTGTCCGTCTGCAGGTGGTGAACAGCGGTAACCTGTTGGAGGACATGACACCGCCGGTGAACCCGCCCGAGGAGATTGACGATCCGACCGACTCGCGGCCGGCCGACTGGGACGAGCGCGAGAAGATCCCCGATCCGGACGCCACGGTGAGTCGCACGACACACGGCTGGAACTTTCTGGTCATCACAGCATCCGTTTATCACATCCCACCCGCCGTCCCTGCTGGGCGCATCCGTCTCATTTCATTCATCCCCGTCCGGCACATTTTGTTCGTCAAGACCGTCCATCTGTTACATTTGACTTACTCTGCCCTTCCGTTTTTTTTTTTTTTTTAACTCATTCCATCCCCATCTGTCATGTCGGTCAGTCTCCACGTTTCATCTTATCTCATTCCGTTCGTCACTTTCAAGTTGATACAGCCTAAATTGGTCGATGATTGAAGTACGACTGCCTCCAAATGCTGCTTAATCTCTGAGCGTTCGATTAGTCCCGCTGTCCGGCTGTGTGGCCGCCGGGTCCTGTGACGGTAGTATGACTCGTGTCCCGCGCCTCGCCCGTCCACAGAAGCCGGACGACTGGGACGAGGACGCTCCAGCCAAGATCGTGGACACGTCGGCCGAGATGCCGGCAGGCTGGCTGGAGGACGAGCCAGAGATGGTGCCAGACCCGGAGGCCGAGAAACCCGACGACTGGTCAGTTACAGGGGGAGGAGTGGCACTGGAACTGACAATGACAGACACATGCTGACACTGACACTGAGACTGACACTGACACTGACACTGACACTGAGACTGGCACTGACACTGACACTAACACTGACACTGAGAAGGGAAATGATAACGCTGGATTGTTCCTGGCACGGGTGTTTTGTGTGATTTTGCAAATACGAGAACACTGTTCTGAACGGGTGAAAGAGAAATTTGTAAGAAGTATTATACTCTTATGCAGCAACACGTACGAATAATCGATACTTTTATCATCATGTGGCGCTCCCAATGTCGTAGTCTGTAAGATTTTTGTTGAACTCGGTACTTTTTTACTTTGTGCTTTATCCGCCCTGCCGGCGCATAATAATGTCTGGCCCGGAGCAATACCGCTGACCTGACCGGACCTTGCCCACCCTGCCGCAGGGACACGGAGATGGACGGCGAGTGGGAGCCGGCGCTCATCTCCAACCCGGCCTGTGCCAACGCACCCGGCTGCGGGCCCTGGAAGGCGCCCATGGTGGACAACCCGGCCTACAAGGGCAAGTGGAGGGCGCCCATGATCGACAACCCCGCCTACAAGGGCAAATGGGCGCCGCGACGCATCGCCAACCCGGCCTACTTCAAGGACACCGAGCCCTTCAAGATGACATCGATTGTGAGTGACTACGTGGAACGGTAGAGGAATATTTGGAATGGATAGGGCGTCTGATTGCTGCATACTGCATTGCAGCATGCATCATGCTGAATGGTAATTAAACCGGTCGACACTGTTTTTGGGGTTTGTGTGTAGTAAGTATTGAAAATGTCTCAAATGTATGCATATCTTGGTCTGAAATTCTCAAGTTGTTATTCACTTTTTCATATTTGGATCTGTTCGACTGACATCAATGTCTCAATTGTTTTCAGGGCGCCGTCGGCATGGAGCTGTGGTCGATGTCGGACGGCATCTACTTCGACAACATCCTCATCTCGGACTCGCTGGTGGACGCCCAGCAGTTTGCCGAGGAGACCTTCCAGCTTAAGTCCAAGAAACGCCAAAGCAAGGAGGTGAGGCGGCCGGGAACCGAGAGGGCTTGGTTTGCTAATCGGTGGAACTGATGCTAGTCGGTCGATCTGGTCTGTCGGTCTGTGGTCGGAGTGGTCTGCCGGTCTGCGGTCGAAGTTGTGTGTCTGGTCTACAGCAGGACTGGGCTGTCAGACTGTTGTTGGCCTGGTCGGTCAGACTGGTCTGCCGGTTTTTGGTAGAACTGGCCTGACGGTGTCTGATATTTGTCAGCTCTTTGTGTGTTTTTTTTTCGGAGTAGGGAGACGCAGCTGACAGGCTGAGTTCCTCCATATGCAGTACATGCAGCAGTTGCAGCACCGTGTCGAGACCTGCTCCCCGTCACGTCCCGCCCCGTGGGCCAACCACGCGTTAGGCCTGGATCGGTGACCGGACTTGGATCGGTCGGCTGGGCGGTGTAGCTGCTGGGTAATACGGGCTGGTGCCCGACCGCCTATTTGCCTAATTGCATTCCTGATCTGAATACCTACGCGGCGGCTCGACGCTGCCCCACTCAGGCCGATTATCCGTACAACTGGCGTCGGTAGCGGTTGGCGGCGGGACAGAGCCGGTACAAGCTGCCCGTGACTGCCTCCTGTGGCCCCTACCGTAAAAGTACGTCGAGCAGTTTGCAAAGAAACAGCTTATCGTTACCCGGCTCGCAAGTTATCGATTGTTACCGGTGCGGTCTATCGGATATTGGGTTGTTAACGGAGCAACTACGTCGGCCGACGTCTTTCTGACGAGTAATCACATTTGGTGTCCCGTGTCGTTCAGATGTTTTGCGTATACTTGCCCTGAGCTGCAGCTTAGTGGGTCGGTAAAGTGCACTCAGTTATCCGTGAGCCGGCCTCAGATATCTCGTACATCCCCTGTAATCGGTGCCTTCGACTTGCACGATGATGAGTCACGTGCATTATAAATGTTACAGGCAATGTGTGGAATCAGGCATTCTATAGAATGCCTAGGCATTCTATAGAATGCCTGACCGACCAGGCATTCTATAGAATCCCTAGGTATTCTATAGAATGCCTGACCCACCAGGGATTCTATAGAATCCCTAGGCATTCTAAAGAATGCCTGATTTTCAGGCATTCTATAGAATGCCTAGGAAATACACGAATCTTTCCAACATATAAGTGTATGTTGTATAAGATTATGAGCACAGACCGACATGTAACATTATTATTTTCTGCCAGGCTACCTTGCGTTCAGCTATTTATGTTCATTCAGTCAAATGTTCATTCAGTCAAATTTTCCGGTCAGGTATTCAATCTGACCTTATTAGGTCAAATTGTATCAGGATTTCATTCTGAGAGTACAGAGTATTTATCTTAACGCTAGAAAGACGATGGTGGTAATGTCAATATCGGAAACGCCTTTGGTAAAAAAATTACACAGAAAAAATTGACAAATCGTCCATTTTTTGAGGTGTTTGCCTTCTAAGGAATTGATTTAAGGTCAAACTGGAGAAAACGGCTAGGAGCCAAAAATGGACAAAAATTGGGCTGACCTAAAAAAATGGCTTAGCTATTTGTTTTAGAAATGGCACCCTTTCGAACATTGCCAAAGAAGAACTGAAGTAAAATTTCATAATTTTGAGTCTTTGACGACCTTTCGAATACCGGATGGCCCAGAGGTCAAGCTGGAAGGGGAGATCGAACAACACCTAATCCGGCTCTTGTTACGGCCGGGCCACCGCCCAGACGTGGAATAATGAACCATTTATTCAGGTTATTCCCTGACATTACGGTGTAGGTTGAGCTGTCCATGTATGTATATTGAGAGTCGTTACACGAAGTGCTTATGACGACATAAAATGTGACCTTTGGTGTATTTTTCACCTTCATTTCTAACATCAGAACAAAGCCATCGTCATTCGCAATCACTTTCGATTCAAGCCTACGGTCCACCCTCCCAGCCAACACTCTTCTAATGCAGCTTCGTATCTGTAGCAGCATAATCCTCCGAGGGTAACCGTTTAAGCGACTGGTTGGCCTGTGACTCTCCCGCGTGCCTTGCGCCGTGGCTCTCCCGTGCCAACGGAATTGGATCAGCTGCTGCTTGCGGCGCACCATTTGGTGGTCGGCATAGCCCAATACCTCCCTCGCTTCCTCTCAGCTCATTGCCCTGAAATGGTGTGAGGTGACGACCGGCCTAGGCCAACAATGAAAATTAGGTAAACAAATAGCATTACTGCCACTGACCCCTAATTTTCGAAGTGTGTTTCGGACAATCAAAATACTTAGGCATTCTATAGAATGCCTGGGAGCTTAAGCCAGGCATTCTATAGAATGCCTAAGCAGTCAGGGATTCTATAGAATGCCTAGGGATTCTATAGAATGCCTGGTCGATCAGGCATTCTATAGAATGCCTAGGCATTCTATAGAATGCCTGATTCCACACATTGCCTGTAACATAAACATTGGTTTGGTAACTACCCACTTACCCGTATCCAATAATTCTTCACTGTTTTACTCACTAGTAAAACCTATTTCCTGGGATTGCCTGTCGACGTGAGGCACCCGCTGACTTGGTGGATTTCTTACACGCCTGCATACTGCGCAGTGTTCATTTTTACGGGCACGCCCTCCGCGCTATCGCGGTGCCTTCCTTTCCGCGCCCCCGGCCGTCGGGAGGGCTTACTCGCCGACAGAGTGATTGGACGGGCCCCACTATCATCAGCCTGCGTCCGGGTGACGCAGCACGAGCGGAGCCGGATGAGCCGGATCCCCCGCCGTGACCCGTTGCATCCGGTAGCCCGCTAAATCTGGGCTGTGCCGAATTTCGTCCGTTTTGACCTTGCTGAATCCGATCCGGACGGGATCGGTCCATTCAAAGCCGGCGACAGCCGTACCGGGACTGGATCCATCCGATCTGACCCGGCTTCATCCGGACCGGAATGTGATCTTTCTTTATTTCCATTAACCACCACGTGGTTATTTCGGTAAGGTGTTATAAGTATCGGTCACTTTTCGTCCTCCGCCTCCTCGAAGTTTGTCCGAGAAAGTCGTTCTTAATCGACGTGAGCTGACTGCTGGGTTGGTATATTTAGGTAATGGTCCTTGACTGTGTCCCGACTGTCAATCGGTGGGCTGCTATCAAGGCGAGATCGAGTAGGTTCAAGCATGGAACTGTTAACATCCTTTTTTTCTTTTCCTTGGAAGTATTCGAAACTCAGGAGATTTGTCAACTGCACGCCTGCTGCTGATGTTTTTAACTTTTACATTAGTTCAGACTTCAAGCCGATTCCGGGTAAGAATTTCTCGTGAACTACAAATGTTGACTGGAATCGAATGGTATTTGAAGTATCGAGTAACATTGTCAATGATGTAAATGACATTTGAAGTATCCAGAGGAAAACGCAGTTACACTAGTTGATTCAACAGTGAGACTAAAAAAGTAGTACAACCCGTCGTGACTCCGCCTCATCCCTGACCGGCCGACTCTTCACCCACAGGCGGGCGTCATTGAGCGTTTCCTGAAGTACAGCAACGAGCGGCCGTGGCTGTACGCGGTGTACGTGCTGCTGCTGGCGCTGCCCGTGGTGCTGATCGCCTTCTTCTGCTGCTCCGGGCCGTCCAACAAGGTGGGTGTGTTCTGCTGTCGGGGACTGGAGACTGGTCGTGAAGGTGGGTGGGTGAGAGGGGATGGAGCGAGCCGGTAGTCTGCTGCCAGTTGTATGTGGTGTAATTGATGTTGTCTGTTGTCTGTCATTGCTTCTGTTCGGATGTCTGGCCGTATGTGTACCGCCTGCCAGCACTTGCCGTCTCTGCTGCTCCGTTTTTCAATCGGTGTGCGAGCGTACATCTGATTAGGGCGATGGACTTTTGAGGCTGAGCGGACCGGCGGATGGTTCCGCCAGTCATTTCTGGCCGTATTTGCGGCTTGCCACCTTAGGAAGTCTGACTGACAGCTCCAACCTTCGTTCACCCAGGCGGACGCTGCCGGCCGGCGCAAGAAGACCGACGAGCCGGAGCAGGACGATGAGGTGCCCGCCGACGGAGATGAGCAGGAGGAGGAGCAGGACGAACAAGAGGAGCAGGAGGAACAGGAGGACGCTGGCGAGGAACAGGAGGAGCAGGAGGAGTCGCCCGAGGCGGCAGGAGACGCCGCCGGACAGGAGCAGGAGGAAGGAGAACCGCACAAGGTAGGGTAGTGACATGTTTACGGGGCTGGACGTGGGGGGTATTGCGTTATCCCTGCTTATATAAGCATCTTTAAGGAGTTTGTCATCAAGTTCAAATTTTCCGGACATACCATACCATGGACAATTTCCGGTACTAATTGGAAGAAACGAGGCATATATAACTTGAATCATAGATGAGACCTCATTTCATGTTCATGTTAACATGGATCCATGTTGTCTATGAATGAGGTAATTACAGTTCCGATAACCTCATTGAAAGGAAACACAGTGAACCATCGTTGAAGCTCGTATAAGAACATAATAGCCGTCCCATAAGTGCAGTATTTTGCCCGTAAAGGTCACGCATTGTTTCGCGATTGGAGAACAATTGCGCTTCTCTGTTTTGCTCTGTGACCAATGTTGGACAGTAATTGCGCTGCCGCCATTTCCGGCGAATTACTGAAGTCTGGAAAAAGTCGCGGCACCCGTGTCGATCCTCTCGGTATCCCTGCTGGGCGAGAAGTCAGGGCTCTGGCAACGGCACGGGGCGGGGTATTAGAGGCCGGGGACTGCTTGGGACGGCGATGGGACGTCTGGGACTGTCTTGAACTGTGATGGGACGTCTGGAACTGCCTGGGGATATGGGAGGACGTCCCGGTACTGACTGTCGGCCTGTCTGCCCGCCAGGACAGCGGCGATGAGAGGGCGGCGCCCGGCGGCGAGGGTGACGCGCCACGGTCGCCGCCGCGCCGCCGCCGGCCGCGGCGTGACTGAGCGGCCGTCGGGCCGGCGCCCGGCGGCTACCGCTCGGAGCCCGGCCACTAGTCAACCCGTGCCGCGCGCACAGACAGGACACGGCCCCGGGGGCCACGCAGCTGCCTTGTGGTGGCCGGCCGGTGTGACGCTCTGACAGGCCGGGCCGGGCCGGCCACTGCAGATGGACGGAGGATCAGTAAGGGACCGGGCTCGATACGGGCTCATATCCGTGCCGGAGACAGACTGAGACAGGGATGGGGGGATGTGACACGACAGACTGAGTCGGGTTGGGGAATTTGACGTGACGAGGCGAGGGTATGCGACATGAAGGACGGAGGGGTGGGTCGAGAAGCAGCGTGGTGGTATGTGTGGCTTGAGTTTGACGGATCAATTCGAACAACCGTTGAGACGCAGCGCCGGCTGGCGTGCAGTGAGTGACTGGGTACTGTGTGCGTCGGTGGAATAATTGGGGGACATTGCCAATGGTTAGCATCGATATCCATGTATCGCTTGTATGTGTTATAAATCGTATTCGTTTGTTGGTTTTCCGTTTGTTTGTGTTCATTATAATATACAGTGGCTTGCATGTATAGTCGCTTGTTCTTGTGAGGGATGGTGTATTTGTTCCCGTTCCTTTTCAGGAAGTGTTTTTGCACGGTGATACCCAATAAACAATCACACGATACATAATGTCTTCTTTGCAACTGCGAAGAACGGGAGTGAACGTCGATAACCAAAGCTCGGGGTGTATGCCGATTTGTTATACCGATCTAATAGCCAATGCCTGCACGACATCACTGTTTTCCGCCACTGCCATCTCCTGTGAACTGTGTCTGACTTCTGTGACGTTCAGCCCTCGCGTGCTGTTTAGTTGCCTGCTGTGACAATCCGCTGCCGTGAGCCGCCTGTCGTTGCGACATCCCCTTTCTCAGTCGGCCGAGCTGCAGTGAGAAAATGCTCTATAGCGTCGGTCGTCTGTGGGGCTAGTGTAGGCGGTGCAGCGGTAACGACCCCGTCTGGTGGACACTGGATGGCTACAAGGATGAGGCCTCATTGCCACTTTCCAGGCGGCCGTTGTCAGCCGACTGTCTATACTGTGTCTTCATTTTCCACCATCCTTGCGACAGCCGAGTGTAATGTCTCCTAAACATCCTTGTGCAAATGAGATAGTGCACTCAGAGATAATTTGGCCGGGTAGGTGCTGTTTGTTATCTTACTATGTGTACTAGTCTCATTTTGCGACGTAAATAACTCATCAGTTATGCCAGGAACCCTGGGAAGGATTGTTCGCTTCCTCCTTGGTTGTTATTGAGGGCTGCTCAGTCTTGTGGCTATTTATCACTCCTGTCAATAGTGGCTATTCCATGAAATAACCATGAACGGTCAATAATCAATGCTTCGGGGACATAATATTGTCAAGAGTAACGCCGCGAATGCATTTATCACGTGTGTGCCCCAACCTATAGTTACGTGTGACAGTGGTACCCATGGCACGTTAGGTGTGCCTGTTGGTACCCTCAGCCACACGAACGTCTGTCGAATATGACTGAGCTATAATAAGAGGCTCATTTGGGGCGAATGACCGTGACGCGGGTCTCGGGGGGTTCCCAAGGGATCAGTTCTGGGACCATATCACTGCGGCGGGACACACAAGTGCGGCTGCCGTGAATGCTGGACGAGTGGGATAGGCATGATGTGGCTTCTGGCTTCGGCGCTGGATGGCGGATAGGCTCATTCTGGGTCCCTAAAAGATAGTTTTTGCTATCTGTAAGAATCTTGGTTGTTGCATGCAACTCATCTTCAGCACACGAGCATACTCAAACACTTCATACTTTTTCAATTACTGAACGGTTTGCTCTACAGCCGTTCTCCCTTTTCATCCGGTTGATCGCCTCTGGGCGCCTGTGCCCTGTAGCCATCAAAATGGCACTCCCACTCTCACACAGACACATTCGCCAGTCATATGCTTGTATGCAAACATATATGAGCACCCACGCCGCTATTTCATTACCAGACAGCACAAGACCACACGACCAGCGATACAAATAATACATACATCTTCACGAAAATACAGCTTTATTATTCTGTCGATCCCGCGGTCAATGGTTATGTGTCCTATATGTAGGTGAGATCGCGCAGGTGATCGGTGTGTGTGGGGGGTTGTGCAGTGGTGTCGAGCCGGCCAGGACGGCCTCGACACCTCTCTCGGGACCTACCACACCTCCTAGCACAGACACCGACAGCTGGGTTACTCGCTACTTCCTCATAGGTCTCCGGCGGAGCGGACAGTCAGCACGAACCGCGGCGCAGCTCGTGACAATCACGGCTTATCGCCACAAAACACAGACCAGCGACCCTCTGAAGCACCGCGTCCCATGGCACTCTGCGGTCTGGGTCTGCCCTACACAGGGCTACTACGAGTATACGTACGGGACCGGGACTACCGTAAACAGTCGGTGGTAGAGCCAAGACCAGGACTACCGTCTACATTCAGCGGTATAGAGCCAGGACTACCGTCTACATTCAGCGGTAGAGCCAGGACTACCGTCTACAGTCAGCGGTAGAGCTAGGGCTGCACCAGCTACAGTCATCGGTAGAGCCAGGTCTACCATCTACAGTTAACGATAGAGCCGGGGGCTATACCGTCTATAGCCGGAGACAGATCTCGGGCTACTGTCTACATATGTCTACAACGAGCGACAGTTTCGGGCTAACCGTCTACATTCTTGGGTGAGCTCTAACGACTGGCCAGGCCGCCGCCGACCGTACGTCGAGTACGGCTGCTTATTATTCCGCGGTAAGCCACGGTTATACTCGCAAACTAATCTTACACAGATACAACCGGAACGCCGTCGGCATTCCAACAAGGGCAGTTCTGTTGTGTTTAATTTATCAGGTTAACTGTATAAGGTGACTTTGTTAGGATGTGGTGGGAAGAAAAACAGTTCGTGGCTCCCCGGAGCGTTCTACCAGCTCTACAGATCCAGTTCTTACATTTACTTTCTAACGTTGACCACCGTCTATAACGGTAACACTGCCCTAACATCGGACATCATTGCGGATAAGCCCGACTATCGTTCACCGAACACACATATCCGCGTGGTGGAGTTCTGCCTTCTGAAACAACCAAACAGTTCCGACACGGATAACTCGCTTGTGCGCGTTCCAACATAACTGTGAGCGCCTGCCCGCAACTGCCTGCTATCGTGGGGCGGCTCAGTCCTTTCGGGTTGCTGGAAGTCTCATAATGTCGATGAATCCATCAAAGCAATACCAGGACTGTTGGTAAGTACGATCTGTTCCTCGCCGGCATCGGGGCGCAGCAGCGAATTTAGACCGCCAATCCGTGCAAGATGGCCAGTCCCGGTCTTGGAGACCAGTCGGGGTCGACGTCAATCCATCCATGGACCTCCGGTGCCGGTAGTTTAGGGAGCTGTGCCCAGAGGGTTCCAGCGGCTAGTTGGTGGAGCGGGCCGAACCCTCCAGGGCCGGCAGCGAGGCCTCGAAGTCTCGCAGCGCTCGGTGGATGAAGATATACTGCTCGGCAGTCTGCACCATGCCGCCTCTGTAACGAGAACAAAAACCCAATGGTTTGAAAGCAAAATACAAATTGGTCAATAAAAAAGCACACACACATGATAATATAAACTAAGATGACAATACTGCAGCTTTTTATTATCGGTGAAACTGAGTGTGCTTTCCAAATACCGCATCTGAATCGTATCGTTCCTAATGAGCAGGGGCGGAGAATTGTCATAATCCCAGGGGGTGCTTTTCTAGCACCTGGCGAATGGAAGCGTCGAATTCTTGCGTAGAAAAGCACATATAGATGCGTTTTCCCAGCAGCATCACTCTCCTCGCGACTTACGCAAAGCAGTTTGTGTCTCAGACGTATTTTAAGCACCCCTAGAACACTATTATATGGCGACTTTTGAATTTCAGGGGGTGCTCGAGCACCCCCCAAACCCCTAATTCTCCACCCCTGCTAATGAGTAAGGATAAAGGGATTAAACGGATTATGGACTACAAAACGTTTCCTTGCTTTTGAAAATTTGAACAGTTATCCACATTAATATACTGATTCAGTTAAATATTTTTAGGTAATTTTCATAAAAGAGAAATGAGCCATTCAGTCAGACAGGCAAGCGCCGCGCAACGCACTCGCTGTGCCGTGCCGACTGCCTGCCTGTGTAGGTAGACTGCGCCGCCAAACACCAGTGTACTGCGGCACAGCCTACCCCCGTACGGAGGCGGCGGCGCCCGGTGCAGTGGTGGAGAGACGGGCCTTTATTGCCGTGCCAAAGCAAGACTAACGGCCCGTCGGGTCCACTATCCACACTCGACAGCGCTCTCACTGCTGTCACACTTTCTCAGGTAATTGGAAAATGGTGAAAAACAACACCCATCAGACAGCAAAACAAATGAGACTGATGGCGAGGCGCGAGCACGGAACGGGAAAGATACGCATCAAACACTAGAAGCTGTAAAGATAGTTAAAGGACACGTGTGTAGGATTTTCAGAAGATGAGTATCTTGTATTTATTGCAAGACGAAATAATCTGCAAAGTGAGGAAAAGAAAAAAGCGTCTGTACAGCGTAGTGGCGTGGCCTCAAGGGCGGGTGAGCCTGAAGCTACAGCAATTTCCTGAGTGTGCGTCTTCTGACGGTACGAAACTCCTCTCTCCCTCTCTGTCCCTCTTTCTCTCTCATTCTCTCTCTTTCTCTCTTTTCCTCTGTCTCTGTCTCTGTCTCTGTTTCTGTCTCTGTCTCTGTCTCTGTCTCTGTCTCTGTCTTGGTCTCTTTCTCTGTCCCTGTTCCTTTCTGTTTTTTTCTCTCTCTCTCTCTCTCTCTCTCTCTCTCTTTCTCTTTCTCTTTCTCTTTTTCTTTTTCTTTCTCTTTCTCTTTCTCTTTCTCCTTCCCTCTCTACCCCCTCTACCTCCTTGTCCCTAAGCGGACGAACCTGTCTCTGCGCATGCCACAGACGATGCCGAGCACGTCGACGCCTCCCTCTTCCATCAGCTGGCTGGTGCCGATCGAAATGGCGATCAGGCAGCCGGTGCGGCCGATCCCGGCACTGCAGTGGACCACCACCGGACCCTGGCGGCGACATCGTGACCGTCAGATAACTGAAACACTCAACGGTATTCGACACAGTATAGGCGTCACAGTCCTGGGGCTGGACACATTACTTAGCAATGCTGCTCAGCAGCGTTAGTCATGATGCATTATATCAGCTCCACAATAAAGCATTACCCGCTCGACTAAATGACGATATGGGTAAAACTCGTAGTCTCTACGGAAACTGAAGTTTCTATTTGAGTCCCGGGTCCGACTCATGGCGAGTTCTCACTCAGAACCCCGACTCAAGAGCCCCCAATTGACGGTGAATTTTACCCATAAGTCCTAGCTTAGTCTTACGATGAGTTTTCCCCCAAGCTACCACTCACAATGGGGCTTCCCTCTCAGCTCCAATTCAAACTCACGGTGGAGTATTCCTCTGAATCCCAACTCTAACTCACGGTGGGGTTCTCGCTCAGTTCCAACTCAAACTCACGGTGGGGTTGCCCTCGGAGTCACGCCTTGCGCTCTCCACCTCTGCTGCCATCTGAAGCAGTTGCTGCGAGTCGTCCGGTGTGCGATGGTCGGGCCAGGCCGTGAACCAAAAGTGCTGCAGCTGCAGCTGCTCCTTGCCGCGCTGCAACGAGACAGAAGCCGGGTCAGAGCAATGACTTAGGAAGTGTGTGACAAACTGGGTCAGACTGGAGATGGCAAGCGATTCAATACGCTCGATAGCGGAAAGACAAACAATCAAATGGAAGGAACAGTTATGCAATCAGACCTTAGAGCCAAACCGTGTAAAGATATCGCATTACATCCCACGAGTACCAGACTTTAGATTACGATATACCAAGACGTGTTGCGGACTGCATATTATAGCACGGTGGCTTGCCGCATTCCAAACTGTAATGTCACTCAGCTCAATTCTAGAACGCTCCATATAATGCGCCACAATACTGAACCACATCCCGGCGCCGACAGGACTTCGCTGCGGCGTTTGACAGCGCCGGTGCATCACAATACACATCCACTAGCTGAAATCGACATTCCAAATGGATCCATTAGGCATTACATACGACTGCATTAGCCATTAGGCATTGCATACGGATCCATTAGGACCTGCAATGGCATAGAGGCCTTTCAAGTCGATCGTGAATGGGTGCTCAATTTTGACGAGATGTTAAATCATAGCGTAAAAGTGTCATGAACACGACTGAGAGCAATAAATGTTCGATGTTGTGAATGCCGGTGCCTTCAAATGGCTGTTAGTGGAAGCCAATGAACGCGGCTGTCAAGTGTCCATGCTTGATATTGGCAGTGGCAAGTGAGGTCTAGAAACCTCAAAAGATTTACGAAGCCACTATTAATGAGTTCTTATTCCCATGAGTCCACTGTCCAGCTGTTGACCAAGAGCAAACTACCACAAAATTTCTCAGTACCACATCGTTTCTGGAAGTTGACATTTCAACGGCGGGACTAGCTTAAAAGTTGGACGTGCCGTTCATGAATTGCCAGTGTGGCCATGACGTCAACTGCGACAGCTGTTAGGTCGGCTCGACAGCTGCGGCCGAGCGGTGGCCAGCTGCCTGCCGGACGGTATATTGAGCGCCACGGCAACAGGACCGGGTCTGCCGGCCGCGCAGACATGTCACCAGGCGTCCAGACGGACCATCAGACGATGCATTGCAGACAGGTCACCTGACCTCGAGCCTCCAATTCAAATAAGTCAAATGACGTATTCGGACAAGCTTATTAATACTGGCATGCTAACCAAGCTATGGAAAGGTTAATTGACCTCCAGACAGGTCACCAGACCTCTAAACAGGTCAATGGACCTCTGTCCTCTACAGATATCCTCTGTGAGGCTCGTGGTCGCGGGGCTAGGCACGTACCTATCTGCCATCAAAATTAGCTGGATTCCCCGACCGTAATGCCGCAGATTAAACTTCGATCGCGCCCTGAGATGTGCTCGCCTGGCTGTGTCCACTTAGAGGCGAGCTGGTCACTAATGACGGCTGGGCGATATCCGACGAGACTACCAAGCAATAAAGAAAGACTAACATTAATCAACATCACATACGGCACTTCTTCAGAACAAGCTGAAGCGGAAATTGCTAAAAGAAATCCAATAAATAAAACAAGTGCCAATCAACAAACAAAAACAACTTTGGAATAGCGTCTCGAGACACGCGGCAAAGGCCACATACAAACACGCTGACAAAGGCAAACAAACAAAACCACGAGCAAATAATAAACAAACACAGCTGAATCAGAGCACCTACCTTGACAGTGACGTGCCTCAGTGTGTAGCCGTTCCTGGGCAGGATGCGTTTGACGGTGACCTCGATTTTGCCGAACGTTGCCTTCTGCCGCGTCTCAGGTAGGTAGCCGGCGCACTTAATGCGGCCATTTTCTCTCAGCTTTGTGATCATCACGACGGCCGGGGCGCGTCGGGACAGCACCATCAGCCAAAAGTCCTCGAGCGTGTGCGCCAGCGGCCCCTGAGTGGCGATGTAGGCACGTTCTTCGTTGTCGTACCCCTGAGGAGAGGAAACACAAGGTCAAGAACAAAGGCAAGGTCGTCGCTAGCACAGCGAACACGCTCTGCGACAAACAAGAGGAATAAGGCATGAACCTTTTTAAAGAAGAAAAAAGCTTGAATTCGGCTAATGCTCGACTCTCCAGGATTCATAAATCGCCATCTTGCCCGCAGGATGTGAGGGCGCTCTCATTTCGGCACACACCGCCGAGGAATCGCTGCAACTTTTATACCATCCAAGGGTTTGACGAAGATGAATTACTGACACGGCTGGCCAATGTTAAATATTCATTTCTCGGCCAGCATTATTGGGTGAGGGCGAATGCTCCATCGATTTCCGTTGGCGGGTCCCTACAGTTCCCGGAGCCGAGCACTCGTTCAGAAGAGGCTCCGTCGCCGCGGGGAGCCTCTCCAGGTTTTGTCACCCGCAGACGGCCGACCCCCGCCGACCCCGCTGACCCCGCTGACCCCTGCTGACCTCCAGCCGACCTGTCGCGGCCCCCGGGCGGTGTCTGACCTTGAGGGCGCACCCGACCGTCTCCGTCGCGGTCTGACGCCCACCCTTCCCCGGCAACAGGCTTTACTGATCCGCGGGTTTACTGACAGCAGATGACCTCTTTGAACGCGACTATGGGCTGTGACATAAGAGCAACTTTTGATCCATATAAGAATTACAGCCTGAGGGGGGGGGGGGAGAAGTATCCTGACTCCCTGAGGATATCCTAGGTGACCTGGAGTTGACCCGATTATAAAATCAAAGACCGGACCTCTTAGGGATTTATGTTGGTGAATATATCACGGGATGGGCGTGACCTGTGATCTGATGACGACCTATAAATTAAATGATCTGTCAAAAAAAAAAAAAATCGTAAGATGTGAACCGGGGCTGACGTGATGGTGATCATAATAATGCAATTATTTGACAGCAGCCTCAGACACGTGACCTGAGCGCCCCAGACGGATGTGCTGACGCTCGGTCGTCTGCCGCCTCAGCCCCGAGACTCTCTTCGGTCACGTGCGGCGCGGCCGCAGCCTCGGTGACGCCAATTGAAGGCGCGCTATGCCTGCTAATGGCGAGGAGAGCCAATACTGGCGCTGCCGCGACCGGAATCCCCTCCCCGACAGACGGAAGAGGTCTGCCCACGCCTGTGACCGGCATCGGGGTCAGACGTCCCTCCCCGGCCCCTGCCTTTTGCAGACCAGGCTCCCTCCCCTCCCCAAGTGGGGGACTACGCAACAAGACAGATGAATAGATGATCGATGATGCGTCCAGAAATAGAATGCGCTCTCGCTGGTGTGCAAATTAGGTTGGCACTAGAATATGCTAGGACTAAGATTCACTTTCGGTTACCTCATACACTAGTGCGAAATAAACTTTCGCATAAACGTCATGAGTTAAGGTGTTGGAACTCTGCCAGTTTCAAACGTCCGGGTGTCACACTGATGCACCATCATTTTTAACAGCCAGCGTACGCTTGTATGCATTGCACGTGGCATCGTCAACATGCTACGTCAACCAGAATTACTGCAATATTGCTGCAATACTGCTGAATTGCGATTGACTGAGCAAGCATTATACCGAACCCAGCAGCAAAGAACTATAAATTTCCAATTATGAGAGACCAATAAAAGCTCCGTTGGGAACACCGGGTCGCAAAGTTCAAGGCTAATTCGAAGTGAAACCGTGCAAAATACGCCAGTCGAATGGAATACAAGTGTAAATCAATAAACTGCACTTAGCTAATAGCAGCTATAGCCACGTGTTTTCCTTGTAGTCGTGACGGCTGCCAACGATTACAAGGAGTGTCCTCAGTGGCAAGCAAGGCAATTTACAGCAAAGAACATTTGTGCTTTTTTAGGACAAGCTCACGCTAGAAAATGACGCTTCAAACAAACATCAACTTTAATTTAGCTGCACAGCTCAAATTAATTGAAGTATTTGCCATCATGCCACAATTTACGGAATCATTTGACTTAAATAGCAATAATTTAAATAGCAATTCACATAGCACTTGACGTTATGAAGACAGCATTTTGGCTTTCATGATGAGTGTTCTATGTGTCCATACAACAGTTTAATTGCAGTTTTATAAAGAAGAAAAAGTAGAAAGACAGCTTTGTCAATCCCGTGAACTGTTTAAAACTCGGTTCGGGATAACGCTGCACCTCACATTAGTCCCGAATCCCGGTATCGCCTTCTCCCCTCACTCCCGGCCCTGACTGACCCTGATCCAGTTGGCGTTGATGTAGGAGGACAGAGGGTCCTCGTTGACTCCCGGCAGTGTCACCCGCGTGTGCTCGTTCGGCAGCACCGTCCTGAAACGAGCGCCACGTCAGCGCTCAGATCGCTCACAGTTATCCATCGTACATTTTCTCATTTTTTCGGTCCCTTGCAGCAATGGCAAACATTGTGTGAAACAAAGCAAACACGACGGTGTCAACAGTGAGCATCCAACATCGCAGGCGATTAGCGGGTGTGTGTTTTGCACTGACTTGTATCGATTTTTGGTGCTGGCGCCGACCACACCGCACTTGTCAGGGAAGTTGAGCGGAATGTCCCAGAACTCGGCCTGCAGAGCGGCCACATTCTCCTCTGTCTGACGGAGCTCCCGACGGGAGAGGCGGTTCCCGGCCGAGGCCAGGTACTCGGCCGCCTCACTGGAACGCCATAGAACACTGTGTTACACGGCGCCTCAGTCGTAAGATCACCACAGAACACTGTGTTCCCGGCCGAGGCCAGGTACTCGGCCGCCTCACTGGAACGCCATAGAACACTGTGTTACAGGGCGCCTCAGTCGTAAGATCTGCCGGCAGAGGCTAGGTGTTCGGCCGCCTCGATGGAGCACCACAGAACACTGTGTTATCGGGTGTCTCGTTGGAATGCCAACTGGAATACTATAACAGCAACACATATTTCTGCCTACCAGGCACATCGGTGGTAACTGGTAAACGTTACCAGCCAATGCAATTCGTAGCCAGCTGCAAAGCGTTATGTCTACCACATAATACTAGCATTATGTGCACTGCTAGCTAAGCGTAATAGTCGTCAACGGTCAATATACAGAGTGGGTACTGCATCACAAAATTTAAATTATGCTAAGTGATATGAACTGGTACAACACAGTCATGTGACATTGCAACAACGGATACATAATATCGGATATAAAAAGACCGGACACTATTATGCACGGCCCTTACATAGAATACGATGCAACGACACGTATAACAATTAAGCAGTAACGGGGAATAGTGCATAACGTTGAACTTCGGCCATATGACGGAGGTCAGGGTGCACTTTTCGCCGACCCTCGACCTTCTTTGCGATGCGTCCGCTCGTGTCAACTCCGCCCCCACATACATTTATCATGGGGTGATGTGGTGCCAAAATAGGCTCGCCTTTGTTCTTTGGCGTGACCGGCGGCCCCTAACGCGTCTAATCGGCCGATCGGACGGCGAACGCATTGCTGCATGAGCGTGCGGCGGCGGCCCCGTCGGACTGAGTGAGGGTCGGAGTGTCGGCCGGTGGGTGAACGGTGACCGGGAGTCACGCGACAGGACTGGACGGGTCGCTGCACTGGGAGGTCCTCATCGACACGGGATTGGAGGTCCACACTAGCTCGGAGGGGAGGGAGAGGGGGGGGGGGGTTCTACTGTCTTCGACACTATTATGCCCAACAAGGCTAGACGGTTAGGGTCCATCCACTGTGACTGGTCTGTAGCCATCCTGCGGCCCGTGACAAATTTAATAATTAGCCTGCGACTGATCCGTGACTTACATGTGAATGTTATGTAACTGATTTGGGATGGATCTGCGATTGACCTTTAGCCGACTTGTGACCTATGAACTACCTGAATAGCTGCGGTTGACTTCTGTCAGTAACCGTAGCAGCTGCGTCCAACAGAGCTCATTGTGAGACAGCGTCAGAACCGAGCTCCGAGCCCCAATTCAGTCCCGAATTCAGAGCGACTTCAGAGTTCCTTTATGCCGTGGAGCCCGCGGTCTCCTCAACCGCTCCAGCCCCAATCAATAGCCATGAGATCGAGAGTGGCGATATAGTCGGGAGATGGACATGGCACCAATCAGGACAGCGGTGGCTGGGCCCGGTCACTGGACTGGAGCGGTGCGCAGCGCTGCGTGACTGACCACTGACCAGTAGTATGGACAACATTGGTTCGGTTGGACACGCAGCCACTCGACCTCCATCCATGCTAGACATGATCGGCTAACGATTCCTCAAAGCGTACTCTTCGAGACTGCACTTGCATACAAATCGACTGCCTGTAGGCAGCCGGCTCAAAACGGCTTACTGTGAAGTGGCAAAGTTTCTGATCGGGAAGGTGCCCAATCCTACCAGGTGCACTGCGTGCCCTCGGCATCAATTTTGCCCTGTTCGTGCCCCACAGCGTCAAACATGATCTGCGTGTGATTGACGGTAGCGGATTCTATCCTAGTAGCGGTACCATTCCTCACCTGTGTGTGGCCGGGGAGGTGACCACGATTGGCTCGCCGTCCTCCTCCGTCTGCTGCAGCTGGATCGTCAGAGACGAGTTGGAGCAGCGCCGCTCCAGCAGACCCTTGGCCTGGGGGAGCACAGGAGGAGGGGTCAGTAATGACCTGGGGGCTGGAGAACGGGGGGGGGGGGGCAGAGACGAGTTGGAGCAGCGCCGCTCCAACAGACCCTTGGCCTGGAGGGGGAGGAGGAGGGCCACAGGAGGAGGAGGGGATCAGTGATGGTCTGTAACATCGCCTCTCCTGCAGATCAGCAGACCCTTGGCCTGGCCGCCTGGGGCGAGGGGTAAACGATCGCCTTTATAGCAGAAAACAGGATTCAAAGAAACAAGGAAGCATGGTTGTAAACGAATTGAGCAGCACAGCTCTCCAACGGAGCCTTGACCTGTGAAGTTAAATAATGAATGCAAGAGAGATCAGAGATCCGTAAAGAATGACCGGAGCTTCGAACACGTCCATCGAGATGTAGGTTAAGCCACGTTGTTGCGTCACACACGTCACACAAAGTCAAAGCAAACGAAGTTACGTCACGAGGAGGGAGAAGCCAGGCCGGCGCGGATTGCGATGGTGACAGTGGCATTCTGTAGATACTCTTAGTTGGACCGTGACCTTCAGCGGACCATGGCTGGGATAATCTCGGATGGACGTGAGCTCAGACGCCGATGGGCTTCGTGTTCAGACGCTCAGAGGGCGCGTCATTGTCCGAACCGTGACATCGGGTTAACTCTGACCTTTGAGTCAGGCCTTGACCTCAGTTGCATTACTTATTTGTGGGAGACACAAGATTGAACAGCCGTAACCTCCTGTGAACTGTGGCCTCTTGTGGACTAGAACCTGCGGATTGTGACCTCCAGCGGTTTGTGACCTCAGGACTGTGACCTCAGTGGAATAAGACCTCATCGGTCTGTGACCTCAGCGCACTGTGACCCCTTGCGGACTATGACCCCAGCAGACCGTGACCTGGCGCCGGCCCGGGTCGACCCAGCCCGGCGGGCCAGGTCGATGGTGCGTCGGCCAGCCGGCTGACCAACCGGCCACGGCGTGCAGGTATCGATCACACGCCTCGGCCGCGCCGGGCCGGCCCGGGCCAGGCCCTGATAGCGCCGTCCCGTCCAACACACACAATCGCCACCTCGTCATCGCTAATGCTATTCCGATAGGCGCAAAACATCATCTTTCCAGAATGGGAGTAACGTGATTTGTGGAGGTAAAAAACAGAGCACACACATTACGTAACGCTGAGTGTAGCTCGCCGTGATTGCGAAAGTTGTTATTGCTGGACAGAATAGATCCGAGGAAGCAGTCAGTACATATGACGAAACTTATTGGAATAAGTTCTGCATTAAATCTGATTTCATATAATGCATGCAAATGCTTAAAAACGTATAAAAAACATGTAATGTTGCAAATACAGACTGGGAGTTAAACTGTTCCGCAGTGTTACACCGGAAGGTAGACTGTCCCGCATTGCTCACACTGGAAGATAGACTTTCCCGCAATGTTTGCACTGGAAAGTAGGCTGGCCGCAATGCTTGCACTAGAAGGTAGGCTGGCCGGCAGTAAAAGTAAAAACAAAACTATTGTTTGCGTTGCGTGGTTGAAAATATAACTCGTATGCATGCATAATTACAACAGGTAGGTACATACCAGCCAGCAGTTAAGTGTACATTTGTTTTGTGTGTGTGTGTTCGGCATGCATGTATTCTAGTTATTATGCATGCATGTATGCACGACAACCAGCAAACATATAAATAGAGGAAGTCACGAGTGATGAAGAAGGCTGGGCAAATTGTTTCATTGAAGCACCTACAAACGATTTCGATTGGGCGCAATTACCTCATCGCTCACCAATGGGCAACAATAAATCCTCGACCTTATGAAACTGTTCAAAGACGGAACTCAGAGTCATTGTTTTTTTTTTTCATTTCGTAAATGTATTCAGGCCTAGTTCTGCATCAGTCAGGAATCAAGTAGCTACCACCAAGAGTTGCAGTGGTTTTGCAGAAAATCTAGCCATAAAGTTAGCCAACGCTCAGAAATGAGAATACCAACCCATTTCTGGCATCGCCGTCTATCTTACAGGCATCGCCGCTCAGTCTACGTTCCAGCACAAACATTGTGGGACAGTCTACCTTCCATCACGGATGCTGCAGGACAGTCTAACTTCCAGTGCAGACACTGCGGGACAGTCTAACTTCCAGACAAACACTGCGTTACAGTCTACCTTCCAGACAGACACTGCGGGACAGTCTAACTTCCAGTGCAGACACTGCGGGACAGTCTAACTTCCAGACAAACACTGCGTTACAGTCTACCTTCCAGACAGACACTGCGGGACAGTCTAACTTCCAGTGCAGACACTGCGGGACATTTTACCTTTCAGCAAACACTGCGGGACAGTCTACCTTCCAGACAGACACTGCGGGACAGTCTACCTTCCATCACGGATGCTGCGTTACAGTCTAACTTCCTGTGCAGACACTGCGGGACAGTCTAACTTCCAGACAAACACTGCGGGACAGCCTACCTTCCAGTGCAAACATTGCGGGTCAGTGGAGGGAGGAAGGGAGAGAAGAAGAGGGAGTAGCTGGGTAAATTTTGCATTTGTTGGAGGCGAAATAAGCTTATGGAAGAACGGAGAGAAAAGGGAGAAAGAACAGTGAGGATAGTAAGCATAACACACAGTGAGCATCACGAGGTGAGGAGGGGAAGGTGGAGGAGCTGGGCGTGGGCCGGACTCGGCCGCTGCTCCCGCCTGGCGTAACCTGGCACCGGATGTGTATTTCTATCGCTGGTCGATATTGGGCTGCCACGACGGCCCGCCGTGCTAGCCGGTACAAGTGGCACCGATACACGGAACATGGCTCCGACCGGACCGACACGCGGAAACACTGGTCAGGCTTTGGTCGGGCCGATGCACCGAGAAAGGTTTCCCGTCGAGCTAACACGTGGAGCACGTTTCTAGGCTGGATCGACAAACGAAACGCGGCTCCAGACCGGCTTGGGTCGCCGTGTTCAAACGGTGTCCCGCGGGAGCGTCGCGGTGAGCCCCCACTTCCGCGGCCCGATCCGCCCCCAGGTCGGTCGTGCCGGTGGTGTAAGACCTCCGCCCACACGGCGCCGCGGCTCCGACTGCGGTGTACCGCGCTCCCGCTGACCCTGCTCCCCCGTCCCACGGCGGCAGCTCAGGGGACGGCCGCCGCCGGTCAGCGTCCGGCAAACTGTGGACACTGGGCGGTGCATAATGCAAGCGCAGCCGCCCCGGACTTTGAAGTGCAGGTGCGCCAAATGTCGGCAGAGACGAGTCATAGGTCACTGAAAGTCGCGACAGTTCGGGTAACTCCAGACGCTGGCGGGGCGTCCGAAATGGCAGTGGAGAACAAAGCAGAACTGAAGTGGAGGTTGATGGTTCTATGAAAACAAGAGATTCGACGATTAATGCAACCCAATCTCATTTTTCATAAATGAAAAATGTTTAAAATAGAATTTCTGGCCCACTCTGGTTAGTGGTTCGTTTACGTAATATCAGTGAGAAACGTGATGTCACCCACCGTTACATATGACCCACTTTCAGCTAAACTAGTTTAGGCCCAGAGTGCTCCGAAATTGTATCTCGCCTGTTGACAATGTGATCAATGGGACCTTAAATGAAAGTTGGCTTTGGAAAATAGGCAAAGGCTCATCCAAAAGTGAATATTCCACAGCAGCAGAATAAAGGAGTACTTTCAAGCTTCAAAGATATTTTCCCGCATTATATGCGTTGAGATACACGGCATGCACTATACAGATATACTCTATAATGGTCGTGACAGCTGGCGAATACGTGACGCAAAGCGAATCATAAAGCATCCGTGATTGAAGTGCTTAATGCCTTATCTAAGGTGCTTTTTTCTAACAACGGATTTATCGTTTATCTACATATGTCAATGCGTGCAGCAATCTGAATAGACAGTTTATAGCACACGCCACACAGACGTTGACATGATCACCGATATTTTCGATTTCCTTGACACTTGTTTCAGTATTGACTGATGTTGACTTATCCCACGTATGTCATCAGACCTGCTGTGGCGTACCCCGTGTCTCTGGCGGACCTACCTTGATCCTAATGGGTGCACCGGCTGCCTGGTCGCCGGCCCGCCCTCCTCCCGGCTGAATATCTGCGCTGCCAGTGGACATCCGCAGCGCGTGGTGAGGGATCCATTGCTGGGTCACCACCTTCCCAGGAGCTCCACGCACCCGGCGCACCACGACAATGGCCTGTCAAACACAACGGAGACGTCAGTTACTGCAGAGAGACTCATACACCAGTATAAACACACACATCAGCTGTGCTTATACCGCCAGCTGACCAGCTCGTGGCGATGCAAGGACAATCTTTGGACATGGCTGCAGTCGAGTGGAGTCTGACCTAGGAGCGATATGCGTCTGAGAAGCGATGTCGTCACTAGGACGCCCATAAAGGTCGCCCCAAGTTGTAAAACACAGCATTTACCGAACTCGCTGATCGTGACTGTAACGACCCAAGTTGGGCGCGGAAGTTCGGCACGCCCGCTGATTTGGCCCACGTCGCCGAGCAGCAGCACCAGCGCTCGCTCGTTCCGACACTAACTCTTTGCTGTCGATAACGACCCCCATTGCCGGTCGGTAACAATTCGCCGGTCACAGGTCGCACCCGCAGTCGCTGGCACTGACCTTAGGGGCCTCTACCCACGCACTGGTGTCGTTACTTACGTAAGCTCTGGCGCCTCAGTCGCCGGTGGGCGGGTTACGCCGCACTTCCCACCCACTAAAACCACAAAGCTCATTAGGTTTGAGTTTGTTCCGCGTAGAAGCTCTGCATTTTATCCCGACCAAAAGAACTTCTGACAACTCGAGTGGTCTCATGAAGAATTAGTCGCATTTTGCGTTTCCACTCACCTGTAAATAGTTATGTAACGACGTATGGTGTGGTGTGTCATAGCATGTCGCTTGTTCACTATTCAGTTATCACACGTAGGTACTATGATATGCATAATTGCATAGAGCCAACATCTACCTTTTCCAAGCATTGCTCTGCTACAAGCAGTGCTACAAGTGTCACCTATACACCTACTACACACATAAATATACAGCACACGTGTGGGGCATCTGTTTTCTCCCACAAGCAGGAGGTCGTTTGGCACATCTATGGCTGCAGCGCGGAGATTAGCGCGGTCAGCAATGTGTGCCTATAACGGGAAAATCGATGTGAATGGCCACTAACGGGCAATCAGGGTGTTTGTATAGGAGCGCCGAGGATTTCGCTGCGCAGGGAGCTCTTGTTCATTTCCACGGCGGAAAATGCTGCAGGGGGCAGCGGCCGGGGATTCCTGGCAGGAGCGGTGACCTACCAGTGACCGGTCACTGCAGGTAGACAATGTCTGCAGGTGGGGTCACTGCAGGTACACGGACGAGAAGGCAGTGCTTACTGCAGTGCTTGTATTTAGGTACAGATTGACCAAAATGCATCAGCTGTGACAACTGTGAGCAGCTGGTAGATAGTCAATGCATGTGTTTATTGTTACCTGTTTAGTGATCGCTCACCACAGTCGGCATCTGCAACAGCTGTTGTGATTCTTAAGGCTCACAATCTTCAATGTAGCCCTTTTTATGATGGCACATTCAACATTGGACACCTGTTGAATCCATTTAATTCTTTTGGTACCTACCTGATAAATTTTAGTAGTTTACTGTAATGTGTACCTCCACCTCTCGAATCGAATGACTTGTCGATTGCTTTGCTTACTTTCTTTCAAATTCGATCAAATATGTACCCAATGTTCCGTCGTGGAAAGGCTACTATGTGGGATTGTAGAGCCGGATCTAGTACATTTATCAAATAAAGTCGCATTTATCATCTGGGATTCCAGATATAGAGCCGTTAGCGTGTTCCCGACCGTAACTGTAATTTATGATGCCACACGAGTGCACCAGAAAGTGGTATCACGCCGTCTCTGGTGCGAAAAATGTAGTGGTTCTATTAGATCACGGTTCAAGTGTGCAGAATAGCCTCTGCAGCCTTTAAGTCTACAAATCACCCCACCCACACCGTTTCAAACGTGTGGCAGCTGGGTGATGGACGGCAGCCTTGCCGTCATCTCGGCCGGGGCGCGGGGCGGAACTCTGCCGAGAGGACCCGTTGGCAGGAATGTGGCAGGTGGTCGTGCCCTGGAGAGCTGATGGAGTGTCAGCACCAGAGGCCATTCATCAGCAGCGGACACGACCCGACCGCCTTGACGGCCGGCGGACGGACATTGGACGCTGAGGACGGTCCCTCGACGGAGACGGCCGGCGGAGACGGCTGGCGGAGACGGATTCGGAGAGCGCGGAGACCGTCCATGGAGACGAGAGCCGTCACCGCTGCCGTCAGTGGCAAAACTCGCAAACCTCAGTATCAAGCTGCGACTTTGATAGACGAAGTTTTGAGCTGTCACGGACACATTTCTGCAATTTATAAATCGCTTCGTTCTTGCTGAATGATCCTGTAAGGTTCCAAGATCACGACGAAAACAGAAAATACCGCTCTTTTCTTCACAAACTATTTACATGACTGCGTAGTGCGTATGAAATGACTTTCACTTCACTTTCATGTTGAACGATGAGTAAATGATTGATCATCGACGAGGCGAGATGATGATCGACGAGAACTTCGCACCAAATTTCAAACTTACTTGGTTAGATAACATCGTTGGAAATTGCGTAACAACCCAGTTCAGACTTAGATCATCAATTTAATAAACTATCCACTGCAACAATTTCAACGAAAGTTTCTTGCGAATAATTTATGATTAATGAATACAGAATGATAAATCATGCAGACGTTGACACCACACAAATGCAGTGTCAGATCCCATCCCAAAAGTCGGCGCTTTGAACTGGTTGGACGAGGAGCACTGGCGTGACAGAGCTGTGGGCGGGTTAAGTTTGTTGAAATCTCGGCAGCTGTAGTAGGTATTGACCCGCTGGCCGACTCTGCTGAAAAACAGCCCACTGCTGTGGCTGCCACTTGATGTCTCTGACCGCTCGCGGGCCACGACATATAGAGGGCTGCTGGAGGAAAAAGATTGTGTACAAAGAAACAGCGCAGAAACTGCACCAAATCAACTAAAAACAATGAGAAGTAGAAGGGGGCCAATTGAGAGGAGGAGGAAGGGAGAAAAATAAAGAATGAGAGAGAGAGAGAGAGAGAGAGAGAGAGAGAGAGAGAGAGGGGGGGGGGGGGGGGGTAGGGACGGGAGAGAGGAAGAGAGGGAAGGAGAGAAAGAGTTTGTGTTACATGGTCTTCCGTTTAATGCGTGTGCGATAGTGAAATTGCATTCCGCTATGCTCGGCACTCAAGACCTCCCGTGGGACTTACACAATCATCTGACTTCTCAACCGCAGCACCCATGACCTCAAACGAAGTGCGAGCAAATGTCAGCTCCGGCCCAACATAAGACGTCTGAGATAGAAAGGGAGATGGGTTTGTCGACCCCACCCAGCTGCCTGCATGGTTACTAGCTGCATGAGTGGCCCACGGTCATGCTACTGAAGCACCAAACGTGAGCAGTTGCACACACCATTTACCCTTCTTCCGCGACAGAAGTGAAGCGTTTCCCTTGGAGACAACTCGAGTCGTGGCCGAACGACCTCAGCCAGCCTGGTACCGAAAATGTCAGGACGAGTCTGCCTGGAAGACGGCCGTCATTTCACAAGGAAATTGCTGGCATCCTGATTGTCAGCGGCCACACTGGCTCCGAGTCGCCAGTTCACCGCTGCGCGGCGCTACAATTTGAAGCTACAAGGCCCCATCCTCTATCCATGCAACGGACAAACGTGCAATTGAGAAGAGTGAGCAAGTAAGGAAGCAAGGAGCAGAGAGAGAGAGAGAGAGAGAGAGAGAGAGAGAGAGGGAGAGGGAGAGAGGGAAAGAGCAAAAGAGAGAACATGGAGGAGAAGAGAGAGAGAGAGAGAGGGAGAGAGAGAGAGAGAGAGAGAGAGAGAGAGAGAGAGAGAGAGAGAGAGAGAGAGAGAGAGAGAGAGAGAGAGAGAGAGAGAGAGAGAGAGAGAGAGAGAGAGAGAGAGAGAGAGAGAGAGAGAGAGAGAGAGAGAGAGAGAGAGAGAGAGGCGGCGGCACTTGGTGGGGCTGAGGCCCAGACTGATCGTCGGTCAGCGCCGTCCGCAGGTGTGCCGGTCCCACGGCCGCCGCGCCGCTGTCTCCAGGCCGACCTGAACACAGGGGCGGCCATCGGCGGACGGAGCGGCGCCCGCCCTCCCCAGCACGACCAGACGGCGTGCCAGGCACAGACGCAGGCCATGGGAAGAGCCCGGCGCAGGCAGTACAGAGTGTGCCAGGCACAGACAGAGTATAGGAGGAACCAGGCGCAAGTAAAGCACGGGATATGGATGGAGCCTGGAGGTGCCATGCAGCGCAGCACTCGGTGCGGCAGCAAATGTTAGACGCAAATGCCGACTCTCGAGACGACGGAAATGGCTTAAGAAACCGACATCGGGAGATGACATGTCAGTCGCAGGCAGGCGGTGCTGAATGTTCTTCCAAATCCATCCGCCGCACAGGCTAGAGGCGGAAAGGATCCGTTTGCTCTGCTGAATGCACCAGATGTCGAATATTAGTGGACACGAATAGAGGTTATACCGCACGAGACCAAATTGGCCAAAGAGCTAGGGCGAACTGTCACCATCAAATCACCCGAGGACCCGCGTATAGGTATAAGTTTCAGATAGTACTTTTATATATATATATATATATATATATATATATATATATATATATATATATATATATATATATATATATATATATATACCATCAACGTCAGCATTTATTCCATTTTTATTATTAGCGTATTGAGCTTGAGCATCCTCTTCTGCAATCCAATACTTTTCCATAAATCCCACTCAACCTGAGCCAAAACAGCATCTATTTATACGGCATAAGCCTTACCCTTCTAACATTCTTTTCCCACATTATCCCCTAAGCTCAGAGATTGATGACTAGTGGCAATAGCAGGCGTCGCCTGCGTGCCCTGGCTTCCCAATCACGGGTGCAGGGATTGATCGATGCGAGAATGGCATGTCAGGAATAGACGCCGGAGGAGGGATTACTCTGAGCATTCCTACAACATGTTGGCATGAAAGGGTTTGCCGAGCCGCTGCGCAGAGCCGCTGTTCGATCGATAAGTGCATGGTGATGGAAATGAACTCTCACATTCAGTGGGCTTTGCTGTAAGTATCGGCCCAAAATACATGCATTAAATGAGAGGGAATCAAGGGAAAGATCGGACATGTAAGCTTTGACGCTGAGACAGACCGCTATAAGCTCAGGCCTGGAGGGGAGGGGATTCTGCGGATAGATCTCTTAGCTGAGATCTGGGAGCTGGGAAGCGAGGGGACCCTGCTGACATTGGGGCTCATCCGCTGAGGTAGACCGCTGAGCTGAGAGGGAGGGGAAGGGAGGGGACCCTGCTGACATCGGAGCTCCGCTGCTGATGCAGACCGCTAAGCTGAGACCTGAGAGGTGAGGCAGAGACCACAGAGACCCTGCTGAGTTGCTGACATTGGAGCTCCTCTGCGGAGGCTCGCCTATCAGTCCGATCGGAATAGCGATCGATCAGGGAGCTGACGCCGCTGTAACAGCTGCAGCGCTGCTGAAAGAGGATAGATGAGCCAAGGCTCTCTTTAGATAGGTCCAGGATAAGGCGATAGCGTGGCTTTTTTAGTTGTGAGCTGTGGCCTGTGATTTGTGAGATGAGATATGAGAGCTGAGAGCTTAGAGCAGCGAGTTGAGAGTTGTGAGTTGTGAGTTGTGATCTGTGAGCTATAAGTTGTGAGCTGTGATTTGAAAGCTGTGTGTTGAGGGTTGTCAGTTGTGAGCTGCCCAGCTGTGAGCTGTGAGCTGTGAGTTGAGAGTTGTGAGCTCTGAGGTATTAATTGTGAGCTTGAGTTGTGCGCTGTAAGAGTGAGATAGCTGTGAGTTATGAACTGTGAGCTGGGAGTTGTGGACTATGAGCTGTGAGCCAAAAGTAGTGAGCTAATAGCTGAAAGCTGAGAGCAGCCGGCAGCACAAATATTAACGAACCCTGAAGGCTGTCGAGACTCATCGTCATTGTGACGGGTGCTGATAGCCTAGAAAATATGGTACATCTATAATTAAGTACACGGGTATGTCTATTGCGCAACAGGAGTATCCCGCGTGTAAATATAGTGCGCAGCCTGCAGCTAGCCTATTACACTTTAATGTTCAGATGTAGCTGGCTTTTAGTGTTGGAAATCTACGCCCGAAATAGCGCTGCCGTCCTGTAATTAAGTCACCGAAACAATGGGTTTTAATCCAACCATTGCCGCGAGAAGAGGAAAGGCGAGCATTCACGTAACCTTTGGTCTTTCAAGGAAATACATTTGTGGAACGAAATGTGATAAATTATTCACAGATGCTGTAGCAGTGTAGCACGTGTTAGAGGCTCACGCTTCACTGAACAGTGGAACAAATCCAGCTTTGATGTTTTTCACTAAGATGTGTAGTGATGTGCCTATACCGCTACTTTGGTTGATAACACCGCAAGCTCACGTAACGTGGCACTTTCGCGTTGCCTTGAAACGCATGGTACCCGGTACCCTCACCTTCTACACTGAAAACAATTTAACCCAAGGCCCACGAGTAAACCGGTGTTTTGCGGGTACCCCTATCCGCAACCATTTTTAACCACCCTCCCAGGAGTACAGTAAGGTCCCATTGCAGTGTAGTCGTCCCTGCTCTCAGCGGACTTGTTCGCTGACAGCGGTTATATCCGCTCAGAGCAAGTACTACTACACCGCAATGGGACCTAGCACTACTCCTGGGAGGGTGGTTAAAAATGGTTGCGGATAGGGGTAACCGTAAAACACCGGTTTACTCGCCAGCCTTGGGTTAAATTGTTTTCAGTGTATCGATGCTTGCAGTTCTAACTCCCGTGACGCAGCACTCGGTAATTCCGTGACGACGTACTCAGTACTCACACCCCCTTTCTCGGCACTTAGTACTCACTTCCGTGACGCGATGCCCAGTACTCGTGTCGCGGTACTTGGTACCGCGATACATAACAAGTACCGCGGTATACCAGGTGCTCTCCTGTCGCCGTACCCGGTACTCACCCCCAAGACGGTGGCCACTGTTCCCACGGCGATTCCTGCGATCAGCAGCCAGGGCATGTACTGCTGGCGACCAGTGGCTCCAGGAGAGCCTCCTGCTCCGGCCGCCAGGCGCTTCATCTTGGTGCCCGAGCCCTGGTCCGCCCGCAGCGCGGCGGCCTGCGGCGGCGGCTGGATATCAGCGGCGTGGTGCCGGAACGCGTGTCTGATCTGGTCCAACTGACGGGCCGTATCGGTCTCAGAGGAGGCAGGGTCGGGCCGTGAGCGAGCCAGCTCTGCTGCCAGATCGTCGTGGTCAGCGCGCTTCTCCTTCTCCAGCTCTGAAAGCTCTGCTTGTTGTTCCTCTTGGTCCTGTTCTGGGTCTTGGTCGCTCCAGTCAAAGTTTCTAGCTTGCGCCCTCCCAGCTTTCGATTCCTCGTCGTCTCGCTGCTCCATCCACCCGCTGTGCCATCGGTCGGACCCGGCCGCCGCTCCCCAGACGCCGTCCTCGGGACTGCCGATCTGTACCCAGTCATCGTCAGAGGGGTCTGGCAGCGGCCCGCGCGGCCACGGCTCTTTCTCCTGCCTCAGAGGAGGCCAGTCATCCTCCAACGGCTCCACATCTGACCAGACCGGCTCGTAGTGGCCCCGCTCGGAGTCGGCGCCGCCCGGTCCCAGTTGTATCCAGTCGTCGTCCAGTGGTTCGACCCGGTACCGGTCACCGTCCGAGGTCAGAAGGTCATCAGAGGTCAGCAGGTCATCGTCGTCTGAGTACCGGGAAGGACCGTGACCGGACACCAGTCGGTCCAGAAACGGACTGTAGCGGCCGACATTGTTGTCCTCAGAAGCGTACAGGCCGGCCGATACTCCTGTCGGGGAGGGAAAAACGGTCAGCAAGGCGCTCCAGAAAACCACCAGAAACCAACAACACAGATTGCCAATAGTTCCGGGATACTGATAGCGCTTGAGCTTGGATAAAAATAAAAGTAAAATAGATTCCGGCTTTGCAATGTTATGAAATAGGTTATCGAACACATGACGAAATCACCATTTATCGTCGTTCAGTCGCGTCTTACATAACGCTCAGCCGACTGTTGCGAAATGCTAAGTGGAATGCGCAAGCTATTTTCTGCAAAAATGAGCCCACTTGCAAAATGGGAGACCAAGAACGCTTCGTTTCACTCCAGATCGCACAATGAATCGACTCAGAATCGAGCGTTCTTTGCTGCTTTTATGAATAGATTAGAATCAATGTTGAGAATGGTGCTGGAATCGTCATCATCAATCTAACGCATGTGAAAGCACATCGCAAAGTCACATCAAGAAGCTCCGCTTGCGCTGAATGGAATTCCCGGAGAGGAGATAAAAGGGAATTCAGAAAAAGTTTGGCAGCCCGTCATAAAAAAGATCTCTACAAAATCTTCCCGAATCTTTATGAAAAGACATCAGTAAATGAAAAAAGTCGCAGGGTAGCCCAAGAAAAAGTCATTGGGTTGTTTCGGATGTTGTTAGTGAATAAAGTTCAGTTTCTGAAACAATTAATATTCAAAAGGTCATCCCTAGATAGCGACAAAATATGCTTTTGAGACATATGCATACAATTCAAGCGGCTAAAATACAGGGGTACATTCAAAGAGAGAGAGAGAGAGAGAGAGAGAGAGAGAGAGAGAGAGAGAGAGAGAGAGAGAGAGAGAGAGAGAGAGAGAGAGAGAGAGAGAGAGAGAGAGAGAGAGAGAGAGAGAGAGAAAGAGAGAGAGAGAGAGAGAGAGAGAGAGAGAGAGAGAGAGAGAGAGAGAGAGAGAGAGAGAGAGAGAGAGAGAGAGAGAGAGAGAGAGAGAGAGAGAGAGAGAGAGAGAGAGAGAGAGAGAGAGAGAGAGAGAGAGAGAGAGAGAGAGAGAGAGAGAGAGAGAGAGAGAGAGAGCGGTGAACTCTCTGCATCCCCCAATGTGTCCAGTGGGCACTACTGTGCACGTCCACTGGATGCGGTGGAGCCCCCATGTGTGGGAGAGGGTGACTGTGCGTGGATGGGTCTGTATGGCGGCACCTTTTCACGGCGAGATGTATCGCTGGGAAGGGCTGCCTCTAGTGGTCAGCCTCAAAGGTCGAGCCACAATGGTGCTATCAGAGAGAACTGGTGAATGCAACCTCCCCGTTCGCCTTGTGATTGAGTGAAGGAAGCCTTTGGGTATCAACCAAACGTAGAAGACAAACGCGAATGCGGCAACCCAACATACTTCAACTGATCAGCATATGATTATCCCCTTCGTAGGCATAATCACACACTCTAAGTCTAATGACTATTTGAGTCATTTTGGTTTGGTGTATACTGCATACTCATTGTTGCCGATTTCTGTGCATCTCAACCACTTCAACCACTTCCAGAGATAAATGTCCTAATTGTAAGGAACGTCAGCTGATAAAGTTAACAAATGTTTAGGCAGTTTAAAAAGAAATCTTTGACATGGATCCTCCAAAATGGTTGGATAATCATGTTTTTTACCAAGAAGTGGCACTGCTTTTCATTACGATTCGTCGTAACTTGCTAAGAAAATGGCGCTTTGAAATGGGACCCCAAAACACTGACTTGTAGCCATCAGACTAAATAAGTGGATTGTCACTATACGTGTACATTGTACACGATATACAATAGTACAATGCTCAATACATAACCTCCAGGAACGTCCATACAGCTAGCATGATAATGCTTAAGCGGTAGGTGTATTCTGTGGTTTATTATACCCTTTGATTAATGAAGAAGGTATACTATTGTATAAGTAGTTGCTGAGTGAACAAACTCACGCCACCCACCAGTTCCTTTAGAAGCGATAATTTCTGACCTAGAAATCATATTTCATAACAGATGCCCTTGCTGTCGCCATAATCTTTACACACCGCATTGAACATTGGTTCTTTCATGTGTCACTCGTAGATAAAGTGGAAAGGAGGCAAAGGAGCACTCTGGCATCGACCGACCTTCTTCGATCCACCGTGGTTTTTGCCGGCCCAACTTTTCCAAAGGCTGGCCGTCCAGTGGGCGGACCCCACCAGGGCGGCATTGGTCCAGGCGATTCAGCGTGACAGCAAGTCTCTGTAATTAATGTTTATGTTTTCGGAGTTGTTCAAGAGGATAAGTACAAATATTACATTTATTCAGATATTTCGGTACTCGTTGTGGTACCTTCATCGGTGAAATGGCGCACAAAGTTTCGGTTCGTAGTTCGACAATCACATACAATACAAAACACGCGACAACGTCATCTAAAAACCTACACTTTAAATATGCCTGAGAAGACCTGATTACCTAAACCTAATTTAGCACCAAGCATATTACAGGCAATCTACCAGATGTTGGTGACTTCTTTTTTATAATAAAACTACAACTGTTGGGGACAAACTTGTAATGTAAGGTTCACAATGGGCGTAATTGTAGGACAAAATATACGAAAAACAATATGAGAAAAGATGGCGGCCGCTGGGTAAATACTAGAGGTTCTATAAGCTAGCGGTTTGAAGACGACGATACTATGTATGCTGCGGGTCTAGGTTAAGAGAATGTCCCATATGGGGCTCAAACGGACGCCGCCCTCGTCAAGGTTCATAGTGGCCTGTGGCGTTAGCTTGACCTCTATGGCTTCTCGGACCTTGCGCCTCTTCCAGTGACCTTCAGTGGCTAGCGTCTTGGCGGTGAGTGGGTTCAAGTCACCCCTGCAGGTGCTGAAGTGTCTTGCTGTAGCAGACTTGTCCAGCCGTGCGTGCTTGATGTCCGCGACATGTTCTTTGAGTCGGACATCCTTTGGCCTTCCCGATTCGCCGATGTAGACTGAGCCACAGGAACAGGATATCTGGTAGACTACTCCTTTTTTCTTTTCGGGTTTGGGGGGCGTCTTTGGCTTTGACTAGGCGGCTTCTTAGGCGGTTCGATGAGTGTGCCACTTGGATTCCAATGGGACGGAGGACTTTAGCTAGTTTTTCACTAACGCCCCTCACGTATGGTAGCTTGACGAATGTTTTTTCTTGCGCGTTATCTTCAGCTTGCTGCTCGATCTGTTTTCTTTTCTTCATCGATTTTTCGATGAAACTTTTTGGGTAGCCATTACTTTGTAGAAGGTCACAGAGGTGCGCCCTCTCTTCGTGCCGGCTTGATGGCTCACTGCAGATGACCTGGGCTCTCGTGTCCAAACATCTTACAATGCCAGCTTTTATGCACGCCGGATGATTGGAGTCGTACTTCAGGTACAGATTAGATGCTGTTGGCTTCGAATACACTGATGTTTTCAGCCTTGCCCTGTCGCGACGAACGAGGACGTCAAGGAACGGGAGCTGCTGGTCTTGTTCCCTCTCTACCGTGAACTGAATGGCTGGGCTGAAGCTGTTCAGCTCCCTGTGAAATTGTTCAAGTGCCTCATTCCCATGTTTCCACAAAATGAATGTGTCGTCGACATACCTTCTCCAGATGACTGGCTGACTGGATGCTGTGCCTAATACCGACTCCTCAAGGTGCTCCATGTAGGCATTAGCGAGGACTACGGACAGGCTCAGACCCATCGGTGCACCTTCGGTCTGTTCGTAGAATGACCCCTGGCATTGGAAGTAGCGGCAGTTCAGGCACGCCAGCATTAGCCTTCGGATTTGTTCTACGCTCAGTCCGGTTCGGTCTTGCAGGCTGTCATCTGCTGTTAGTTTCGAACAAATCACGTTGACTGCATCATCCACCGGCACCTTGGTGAACAATGAGACTACATCGAAACTGATCATTTCTTCTGTTCCGTCTAAGGTAAGATTTCTAATCTCCTCTACAAATGACTTCGAGTTCGGCACGGTGTACTCTGTTTTTCCAAGCACTGGGCTTATGATCTTGGTGAGATGAGCTGCCAAATCATACGCCGGTGACCCTATCATACTGGTGATTGGTCTCAGAGGCACACCATCCTTATGGATTTTTGGTACACCGTAGAGCCTGGGTGGTGAAGTGTGACTTGGCTTCAGTCGTTTTGCTAGTCCTTCAGATATGCTTCCACTCCGGTAGACTTCGTCTATAGCTTTTCTTATCTGTCTTTCTTTTGCGGCTGTTGGATCTTTGTTGATTTTCATGTAGCTCGGATCATCTAATAGCTGATCTATTTTCTCAGAGTACTGCTGAGTCGACAGCACGACTGTTGTGTTACCTTTATCTGCCGGCAGTATCTTGATATCGGTTCTCTTGCTCAGTCTGTTGAGGGCTGTACGCTCTGCTGCCGTCATGTTGTCTTCTATCGGTTTGGCTTTGGCTTTGTTGACAATGCTGCTTACCTGTGACCGGATGACGTTAGCTTGGGTGACATCTGTGACTTTTGACAGGCCGGCTTCAACCGCACAGATGATCTCCTTTACAGGCACCGCTTGGGGCGTCGGGGCGAACCCGAGTCCCTTTTCCAAGACTTTCTGCTCATCTCATCATGAAGGTCACTGGAAGAGGCGCAAGGTCCGAGAAGCCATAGAGGTCAAGCTAACGCCACAGGCCACTATGAACCTTGACGAGGGCGGCGTCCGTTTGAGCCCCATATGGGACATTCTCTTAACCTAGACCCGCAGCATACATAGTATCGTCGTCTTCAAACCGCTAGCTTATAGAACCTCTAGTATTTACCCAGCGGCCGCCATCTTTTCTCATATTGTTTTTCGTATATTTTGTCCTACAATTACGCCCATTGTGAACCTTACATTACAAGTTTGTCCCCAACAGTTGTAGTTTTATTATAAAAAAGAAGTCACCAACATCTGGTAGATTGCCTGTAATATGCTTGGTGCTAAATTAGGTTTAGGTAATCAGGTCTTCTCAGGCATATTTAAAGTGTAGGTTTTTAGATGACGTTGTCGCGTGTTTTGTATTGTATGTGATTGTCGAACTACGAACCGAAACTTTGTGCGCCATTTCACCGATGAAGGTACAGGGACCCGCAGTTGCTACTGTACACGAACCCCAAGTCTAACCGTCTGTCCTGTCCAGTAACAACCGATAACATTGATATCGGCTGCTGGTCCCTGTACAAGAGCAGCTGAGGTTTCCTGTGAGTACCCTCTGACAGCTTATCGTTGTTCCCTGTGAGGGTGCTGGGACAATTTACTCAGGGTCGCTGTACAGTAGCAACTGCGGGTCCCTGTACCACAACGAGTACCGAAATATCTGAATAAATGTAATATTTGTACTTATCCTCTTGAACAACTCCGAAAAACATAAACATTAATTACATATAGTCCTGAGGAAAAGTTTTTTATCATGACACTCAAGTCATATCTCAGCAAGTCTCTGGTTACCCAGTAAAAACACGCCAGCCTCAGCGGTGCTCGGCCACTTCGTACTGAGACCGACACCTTAATGCTGGCTAATGGGGGCCACAAACCGTGCCCGGCCGGCCGCACACTGCACTGCGGTGAGGTGCAGGGTGACCTTCGTGAAGTGGGGGGGGGGGGGCGGCGAGGAAAGTCCCCTGCTGCCTTCCAACCCCACATATTGTTTTGTCAGGACTATTTCTTTCCTGCATCAAATGTGCTGTTCTGTTCGGTCTTCTTCTGTCTTCATCAAAATTTGTCACAGACCCGACTAATGAGATGAGAACTATACAGTGAAAATATACAGACACCTACTTTATAGAAATAGCATGTAATGGAGCACCTTCTACCGCATACGACTTTGATAAAATAAAACGTTGGTTATAAAATTGCACTTATCTTTGTGACAGGTACAACTGGCCAGCCTCGAATAGATTAACGAATATGAGCATAGTTACAACTTAATTTATTCCCAAATTAATGGCAATTAATCAGGAAGAAAACCATTCGCGAGTAAAGAGCTAATTAACTTACTTTTGGCTCCTTCACATCAAAGGGGATTTACGTAACATTGGAGGAACTATGGGCTATACCTATGGCTGTATGCAACGTCATCCTATGACGTACAGCACACGGAGCTAAACGTCTTTTCAAAATATTCAGCCTCGCTACATATCGGTACAGAATAGATCAAACACAATACGGCAACAGAATGTACAAATCCCAGTACTTATAAAGGCCTCTGTGCGTCTGTGTGAGCTGCGAGTTACAAATGTCACATCCCATTTCAACAGACGCCACTCCCAGTCAACAACACCCAACAAAACTACAAACTAATGCCCGCCGCGGCACAACTTTGGCCCGGCAGGAAACCCCTCGCCCGGGATAAACAAAGAACTGGCCACCGCAAACACACCAACTTATCACCACTGTGCCCTGCGGACTGCTGCGATTTGAATAGGCCGACAAAAGGTCTAAAACTGTAAATAAGGTAATAAGGTAATACCTAAAGCTAACAATGTGTAAGACTGCCTTGATGGACTGCTGCATATGCCTCGGATTGTCGGTTCAGAATTGAGTGACAATTTTCTGAGGTCGTCCCCGGCAGGTGCCGTATGGCAATGGCCGATTTTCATCATCTCCGGGACGGTGACTTTGCCAGCTGCTGCCGCATTCCGCCGGAGCCTGTGACGATTAGATCGCTCAAGTATTTTTGCGCCGACTTCACAATTCGACGGAATTGAGTGCTCAGATTATTTCTCCGATTGAACGATTCGAAGAATGAGAGCAGACTAGCACCAAGTTGCAATGGTGTCTGCTGAAGCTTGATCAGATGCCATTTGTGAGTGATTCACTCTCAGTTTGACGTTCATAGCGGGCTGCTGGCAATAGAAGTCCCAGAGTCACGAGGTCACGACATGGTCACGACGAGGCTTCAGCTGCAAATCACACCCGGGTCATGTCACACTACAACGAGTTCGTGGCGCGACCACGGCAGTCACGGCAGAATCACGACTGGGTCACGGTAATCTCCACGGAAGCGCCCTTAGGCCGTCACGGACTGCCATTTCGGGGTCGACTCCACGTGACCGTGCCTAAGGCGGCCGGGCTCTGTTGGTCACATGCCCGACCTTTGCTATCGGCACGCGGGCACCGGTCAATAGGCAATCATCGACGCTGGGATAAGGCGGCGCGGCCCAATCCGGGAGCACGCGCCCGGAGCTCGGCACGTCTCCGGCCGGGCAGCCCGGATTCCCGGGAACGCTCCAACACGAACAATCATGACCGCGAGATACGACGTGCACACAAAATTATCGCTCTATTGACAGCCTTTGAAAGAAATATTGTGATAATATCGTATTATTAATTTTATTGGCAAATTCTGTGGAATCAGAGTGTTGCATGGAGCGACTTAGAATTTATTTATCTAAGTTCTTACGTTTTTTTCTGAAGCTTTATGAAATAATAAGTTTGCCACAAGAGCCGCATTTCAT